TACACATTCGGACTGACTCTAACGCCATTTTGCGCTTTCAAGAGGCAATTTCTTTTGTAGTTTGTAATACAACTGCATACTGATAAAGAGTCCCAAACTGGGACAAAACAGCTGTCCAGTACTCCCAGGTTTTCCAATGGATCTCTAACGAATGTCAGCTCATGATGAAATCCTGTAACCAATCAATCAAATCCCTACAAACCAATACTTGAACTACTATATTCGTTAGATAAGTCTTTTTCCCTATATAATCTTGAGCTTATATTTTACTTAAATATACTGCCTGTTGGAGTATATTTCCAATTAACTAGGTCTTTTAAGTTTATGTTTTGTCGTCAGTGCCTACAGGTTAAGTTGAGTACTGATTCTTTAGGTACTTATGAAAAACACGTTCAGTAAGGCCTGGAAAACTGTAGCTTATCAACAGCACTACCTGGACCTTACAAAATCAATGTTTATTGTTGTAATGAAATAAATGAAGCAGACCAGAAGTTTAAGTAGGCTCTATGACATTGATCGAGCTAAAAACAAACTCTGCTGGTGAACAAATTCATATTCATTATAAGATGCACTTTCTCTCAGAAGACCAGGAGTTGATAATAGTGGTATCATACAAAAAATGTTCGAAGTTCAGATAAAAGTTTAAACTAATGTGAACAGTCTTCAAAATTGTATGTTAGTTGTAATAATGCCGTCTAATTCAGACAACACAAAGACACTAAAATGCATCAACCTGAGGTTCAAGTCTCCAGTATACTTGATTCCAGAATATTCTTCATTCGTGGGTAATTGTACGCTTTGAGATAGCTGAATTTACTTAGGGCGATATTCACTCTATTTGAATTTATTAACATAAATTATGTTAGAACATTCCGATTGACTGCAATCGACTATTTAACATACCTGATCAATACACGAAATCCGACACATTAAAGTATTCAGTCTAAACATTTCCTATTCGGGCGACTTGGTGATGTTTAAATACCTCTTCAATCTAACCAACGTAGAGAGTTCTATGTTAAGTCTATTTGTTTCTTGGAAGCACTGTAGACGCTAATTATATCAACCAGTAATTTATACAAAAATGCTACTTCGCTTACTTTCTTGATTCCAGATCACGCCTCATGATCGCAATATGCTGACTTCCGATAGAAACCACAATATATTCTCATGCTGACCCATGCAATTTATAGATGATTATTTTGATTCTGTTTATTATCAGTTCACTCAAGTACCTAGCTAGCACCTGCGAGATTTGAACACATTCGGCATTATGAACTGAGTCCACGTGGGCAAACCGCAGATGACCTCAAAACCGCACGAGCGAAACAGCTGTCAGGTGTTTAAATCACTTAAAAAGTGATTCGTGGACGAAATTTTTGAAATTAATATACAAAACGCTAACGCACTTCTAAGCTTCATCATATCTGTCGTTAACACACATAGGATAAGACGCTGAAGATAAGTTTTGTCTTCTCACACTTATTCAGATTACTACCGATCCATGTCTCCTTTCTGTCTGTCTGTTTCCGACATAGAACTTTGCATATATGTGCGGAAGTTCAAGTCGCCACACTCCTTCCATGTAGCACACAAAGCAAGAGAAGAAATGCATAATAGAGACAGTAAACAGAAGTGTGAAACAAAGGAAGAGTAGAAACGAAGAACAACATAGTTTCATTGGAAATCATAAGTCGCAAGGAGTGCATGCATCTGTGCCACTGAGAACGATTTTGAGCCATGTCACCAATTGTTTCCAACCATAGATTCTTACCGTCCCGAGGACCCCAACCAGGAAGTCTACACCTTCCTGCATGGCTTAGACCAACTGTTGTGGATTTCATTGACTGGTGAGGCCAAGTTTTTGTTTGACCGCCGCTGGCTAGCTTTTTTCCAGCCTGACCCTATATCCGCTAACATTGCTCGTCGAGGGAGGCGATGACTTAGCATACGTAACACATGTCCTAACCATCTCAGTCGATGTAGCTTCACGACTTCATCGATTGATTTCCCCTGTTTACCTAGAACTCGACGCCTAACCTCCATGTTGCTCACCTTATTATGCCACTTTACACGGGAAATAGAGCGCAGGCACCTATGATCAAAGACAGCTAGTCTTTTCATATCTTCCACTCTCAGTGGCCAGGTCTCACAACCATAAAGGAGGACGGAGCGGACTGATGAGCGGTACACCCGCCCTTTGGTCGACAGCCAGCTAGCCGGATATCACGTCTACACCAGAGATGGCGTAAAATGGAAAATGCGAAGCGAGCCCCCTGTATTTGTGCTGAGATTTCGTCAGAGATCAGTCCGTTGGGGCTGATGGTACTTCCCAAATAAGTGAAGCGGTCAACGTGCTCTACCACTTCACTTCCTATTTTTAAACTAGGCGTCGATGTAGTCCAGTCCAGTCCTGTAACATCATCTTGCATTTGGCGGGAGCGAATCGCATGCCAAACATTCGTAGATTGCGGCTCAAGGTGTTTAGAAGACTCTGCATTTTGTCAGCGTCTTCGCCTAGAAGGACTATATCGTCTGCATATTCCAAGTCGACGAGATTATTCCCCGGTAGCAAGTCAATCCCTGAGTCGCTGAAGTCACCTAGGGTTAAGTCCATTAACACATCTATGATAAAGTTGAATAGAAAAGGAGATAATGGGCATCCTTGACGGACACCACTGGTCGTCATCAGTTCAGATGACAGCTCGCCGTAAGCCCTCACCTGGCTGTATGAGTACGAGTAGAGTGCCTTAATCAGTGCAATATATTTTCTCGGAATTCCCTTTACAGCCAAGCATCTCCAGAGAACTTCTCGATCAACAGAGTGGAATGCTGCCTTTAGGTCAAGAAATATAATGACTGTTGGACACCGGTAGGAATTCCTATGTTCTAGAACCTGTCGGAGGGTGAAGATATGATCAATACACCCTCTTCCTGGTCTAAAGCCTGCCTAGCTATCTCGTGTTTGTGCCTCCCGAGTACCACTTAGTCTACGCATGATTATTGAGCCTAGGACTTTAGATACTATCACAGGAAGACTTGTCTCCCTTCTTGTATATGGGGATAATCAATGACTTACACCAACCCGAAGATACTTCCTCTGATTCCCGGACGCTGCCTGGAATCTCAGTCAATGCAGACAGTAAACTGTCTCCTTTCTACATTCTTTGAATGCAGTTTCAAAGGTGAATAATGTAAACTGATGACGTTTCGCTCAATACTGAACTACCTGTTAGTAGGTCATCTGGATATTTTTGTCTTAAATTATTTCATTTTCTAAAACGAGTATCATGTAATAGTAGGGACGGCATCACTAGTCTGAAGAATATCTACAAACATGTGCTTCATGGAGTGACATTTAGGAAAATAACCTTCAGTACTTCAACAGTCGTGCTTAGTGGCAGCCTATTGCAATAGAAAATTCATGAAAAAATATACCCTCACAGAGAAGGTATGTACGATGTGAGTTGTTCAAAAGCACTTGGCTAAACATTAGCTAATTTGGTTGACAAAAGGTAAACAGAGGAGAATGAAATCTATTATTGGTGAACATCATGAGTCAGGGAATTTAGTCCTTTCCCTAGTTTAATATTATCTTCACAGCTGTATCTGATAACTGCAAAGGTGTTCGTCCTCATCGCCTATAATTATTATCATCATGAAAACTGTATATTTTGACAGCAGCTGATCCACTTTAAACCTCATAATGTTCTTTATTAACATTCTACAACAACCTTACTTCCGCTTTAAATTTTTTTTTCGTATTCCTCCAGGAGACGTCCTAAAACCACACCATTAACATTGGCAGTATAATGACTACAACTCAGACGACAAAACTAAATCGAAATCATCAACCTTGGCTATAAATCCTCTCTTTTATTAATGACATGAATTAGTAGTGAATTACGTGGTCGCCCATTGATGGGAGGGCCTATAATGCCAATTCTGAAGAGACATTTTCCAGGTACACGCATACAACAGATTTATATCAGGACTTTCCACCTAAGATAGGATTGAACAGTTATCATCCAGCAGCGTCTAAACGATGTCTTGATATCTAATGAAGAAAAATCTGACATTTAAAAACTATTGCTTGTTTTACTCTGTTGACATATGCAAAGATACAAATGAATCACTGGTATACAAAAAGGTAGGGAATATAAAATTAAAAGGGGAAATACAAAGACAGTTAGATAGGCATAAGAAAGATAACTGAATGAAACAAAGTAGAAAGTCAAGCGATAAAAGAAAAATGTCCAGGATTAAGCAAATAGGATTGAAAGTACATTACAGTATATAAAATATATCGTTGTAATCAGTATCATGAATATTAGGCATGATTTTTTCATTTTCTTTAAAAAATTACAATCTTTATTTAGGAAGAGATTCAAGATGTACATACTTGATCCAAAGTACCTGAATGCACTTGTGTATGTGTCTCCGCATTCCGCTGTTCAATGGAGTAGTGTGTATAGAAAAGAAAAAAGGTAATACGGAAAGACTAGTACTCATTTGTACGTTAGGTTGGACAGTGAAGAGCATTAAGCAAAACACAGGCTGAGATACGTACAAATACTCCCAAACAGACATACACACACAAGAAGTAAACAACAGTACATATCAAATGTGAAAGATGAACATAATTATCAAGATGGATTTTGCTTTCAAAAGAAGTATAGAAAATTATTTGAAAAAAAATTGTCAAAAAGTACGAACAGATATCAATATAAACTAACATATAGACGCAGTTATAATGATCTTCTCCTTAAGACAGACAGAGAAAGAAGAATTCGTCTTGCATTTCATGATGAAAACGAAACCACAATGGAGATTAGAATGGAAAGCCCGTGATCATGCTGATGTATGTACAAACAAAATAACGTTATATATATATATATATATATATATATATATATATATATATATATGGTTTAGAATAGAAAATAATTAGGATGTAGAAATTAATCGTTGACTGTCAATCGTTAATTCACTGTCACCATCTACTTGTTGCTTGGTCCATGCTGAGCATTCAGCAGTAGCAGGGATCCATCGTCCAAACCGGCGGCTATTAAAAGCTACAAAAATCAATGCAAAATAATAAAAAAAAACAATAAAATTGTTGTTTCAATGAAAATAACCTTTTTTCTGTAGAATACCAAAGTGGTTCTTTCTTCAGTATGAATCAGTACCGGTTAGAGATACAATGGGAACCGAGGGAAACACTGATCAGTTGTTTCCTGTTACTTTAAAACACTTATTAATAACTGGAAATACACAATTCACATGACAGACTGAATTCTCACTGTTGAGCGATAAAAAGATGAAGCAAAACAAGTGGCTAGAGATACTTGGTATTAACTGATGAACAAACGTATACTTGTGGTGAGAGCAGGCTGCTAGCCGATTGGTTGGCACTAATCTACGTTAATGTCTAGGTCACTAATATTGACCGTGAACAAGGCTGTTTCAACAACCAATCACAGCAAACCTAAATGTGGACAAATATGATTCGCAGATAGATGGCTCTACTTTCCGAGAAATATCGAACACAACCAATCATAAGACTGTGTTTGTCTGCTTAACGTCCGAGAAACAACCAATCAGAAGACTGCCTTTTTCTGCTTGCATAAGCCTTATTAATGCATATAAAATATATAAATACGTGTTGATTTTCGTAATAAAACGATCTGTTGCCAGCCCTTGTCTTCTGTTGTTACATTTGGTGTCGCTGCCTCCAAGAAGATGAAGATCCCGTGGCCAGCTGCGTTTGAAGAAGGTGACATACGGAGCTTCTTACGTGACTTCGAAGCCGTTGCTGAGCTGGTGGGTGTCAAGGAGCAGGCGGCGAAGGCAGTTGTCCTGGGGACGCTGTTAAGAGGCCGAGCGAAGGCTGCATATGACAGCGTAGACAGGTCAAATGGCACAGCGTCTTGGAAGAAATTGGTTGAACGACTAGTGTCCGAGTTTGACAGCGAAACAGACAGACAGCTAGCAATGCAGCAGTTCCGGTATATACGACCACCACTTCAGTCGATGCCAGTGACTACGCTATAGGTGCGGTCCTAAGACAGGACGAGGGAATCGTTGAGTATGCCAGTAGGGTGTTGACCCTCACAGAGAGAAAGTATTCAACGATAGAGAAAGAATGTTTAGCAATGGTATGGGCAGTCGACAAATGGAGACCTTATTTACTCGGCCGGCGGTTCCACATCGAAACCGATCATAAGCCGCTACAATTTTTGAAGACAGCGAGAGACCCACGGGGGAAGTTGTCACGGTGGATGTTGCGTCTTCAGGAATACGATTTTACGATCTCACACGTTCCTGGAAGTGAAAATGTCTTGGCAGATTTGTTATCGAGACCAGAAGATGAGTCTGAGTTGCCCGAGGTCGCTTACGGAGTGCATGCAGTAGAACAAGACCCACTAAGACTTGCACGTAGGCAGAGGTTGGACGATACGCTGAATACAGTAATACAGGTGATCACCAACGGAATAGAAGTGGATCAAACTACGGCGAGTAAGGAGCTAACCACACTACTCAGACAGAGGGATCGACTCAGAGTGAATGCCTACGGGACTCTGACCTGGCGAGAGAACGACGGAAGCTGGCTGGCTGTCATACCTCAATCGTCGCGCCACGACATGATAGAAGAATGTCACCAGCTAGCGCATACAGGCGTGGCCAGAACGACCGACCTCCTAAGACAAAGTATGTACTGGCCAGGTATGAGAGAAGACGTAGCAAGATACGTACTTGGATGTCCACGGTGCCAGCTGATGAAAGGTGACAGAGTTAATTAATAAATACGATCATCTGTTCACTGGAGATGGGGACCCATACGGTTATTGCGATAAGGTGAATCATGAAATTCCGTTAAGTGATCCTAAAGTAAGGTCATTTTTAACGCGAAGAGTTCCATGTCATCTGGAAGGCGAAGTGGAGCGACAAGTGCAAGAGATGTTAAAAGATGATATTATTGAGGAAGCTGATAGCCCATACAACTCTCCAGTGCTGTTAGTAAAAAAAGCGAATGGGAAATATAGATTCTGTGTTGATTTCCGACAGTTAAACAGTATGACAGAGTTAAGACCGTGTGCCATGCCAACAGTGATAGAAACCTTAGATCGACTACAAGGTGCGAATGTGTTTTCGGTTCTCGATCTTCGCTCAGGATACTGGCAGATACCGATAAAACAAAGTGACAGAGATAAGACGGCTTTCATCGTGGGTCAGACGCAATATCGATTTAAACGCATGCCGTTTGGACTAGCAGGTGCACCGTTTACGTTCAGGCGACTGATGAAGCTATTACTTAAGAACTTGAAAAACGTGGAGGTTTATGGTGATGATCTCGTCATATACAGTCAGAACGAAAACGATCACGTCAACCATGTAGAAGCCGTGCTGCGACGCATCGAAGAGTTTGGACTACGCGTCAACAAAACCAAGTCTCAGATAGCCAAAAAGAATGTTACTCTGTTGGGACATAAAGTGGGAAATGGTGAGATTAAACCACTGCCGGAGAAAATTTTGACGATTAAAACGATTCCAGCCCCGAATTCAAAGAGAAAACTGAGACAATTCTTGGGTAGAGCAGCGTTTTATAGTCGCTTCGTGAAGAACTTCAATGAGATAGCAGCCCCTCTATACAGGCTACTAGGTGAGCCAAAGTTTGTTTGGTCGGAAGAATCGCAGAGGACATTCGACAGAATTAAACAGCTGCTCGACCACCAACAAATGACGCTAAAACTACCTGTGCCAGGAAGACAGTTCACAGTGTGCACAGATGTCATGGGTCCATTTCCTCAGACATCCAATGGTAATCAGTACCTCTTGGTGATGACGGAACACGCGACACGATGGGTAGACGCCGTAGCAATCCCAGACCAACGTGCAAGAACCGTGACAGATGCAGTAGTTAGACACATTGTTGCAGACCACGGCGTACCGAAGACAATACTGACAGACCAAGGTCCCTGTTTCGAGAGTGAAGAGTTTACTTCCCGTTTGCAACAGCTGGGCATCAAGAGGATCAGAACGACCCCATACCATCCACAAACGAATGGCCTAACGGAGAGAAACAACCGTACACTGAAAGAGTGGCTGGCTTCGAAGGGCGGGAACTGGGAAACGGAGCTTCCACTGATTTTACTAACACATCGGGCTACCACTCAGGAAACAACGAAGAAGTCACCCTTCCAACTGATGTATGGCAGAAAACCACGATTACCGGTACACAATGAGACCTGGCCCATGCACCAAAAGTGGAGTACGACGAAATTAAAAGCAGAGAGGAAAGAGGCAGTCAAGAATGTAATACGGAAGCAGCGCAGTGATGTCACGAAGTCTCAGATGAAAGAAAGGACGCAGTGCATTACTTTTGCAGTCGGGGACCAAGTGAAGTGTAGAGACAGGAGATATACAGTTGGAGGCGGGCTAGGTTCACGGAAACTCCTTCCAAAGTGGGAAGGACCATACACAATCACAAAAAGACGGGGTCAAGTATATACCATCCGAAGAGGTGATAAACAGAAACGAGTTAACGCCAGTCAGCTACAAAGATGGGTACAGTGGGACAAGCCGGTCAGTAACAATCCTCAACTAGAGGATGTAGCACCCAGAAGGTCGGAACGTCTGCGCACAAAGCTATTTGACGGGGGGACGAGTGTGGTGAGAGCAGGCTGCTAGCCGATTGGTTGGCACTAATCTACGTTAATGTCTAGGTCACTAATATTGACCGTGAACAAGGCTGTTTCAACAACCAATCACAGCAAACCTAAATGTGGACAAATATGATTCGCAGATAGATGGCTCTACTTTCCGAGAAATATCGAACACAACCAATCATAAGACTGTGTTTGTCTGCTTAACTTCCGAGAAACAACCAATCAGAAGACTGCCTTTTTCTGCTTGCATAAGCCTTATTAATGCATATAAAATATATAAATACGTGTTGATTTTCGTAATAAAACGATCTGTTGCCAGCCCTTGTCTTCTGTTGTTACATACTGAAATCAATCAATTACACCCTAACCACTTTACTGTAAGAAAAAAACAGTAGTAAGCATTAAAACAAACCTCAATCGGATGGAAAGTACAACATGTAGGTGTCGCAAATTGCTCTCGACTAAGATGACCATAGTGTTTAATAGATGAATGTAAACTTCCATCTTGAATACGATGCAGAGAAATACTTGACTGACCACGATAACCAGCTACTGCGAGATGCGCGTGAGGAGAGGACAAATCAACCTGACGAAGTAGGAAATATGAATAAACAGAAAAAGTTGTAAGACACTGGTTAGGCGAGTGAAAAAAAAACATCGACAATACCCATATGCACAGTAAATAAGAAAGGTGTAAAAAGCTCACATGAAACAGTGAGATAAAATATCTTAGGTTAGTAGACATTTATGGCTATAGTGAATCGATTGCTTACAAGTGAGTGTATTTGAAGCCAAAAGAAACACAGAACCTGGAGGACTGTTCCTTCAGAATCTGTTGTTCCAAGAAGATGTAAAAGGGGTGTACATACCATCAAGGTAGACAATTCATTCTCTTGCCTATAATATTGACGCTACACAAAGCATTTTACTTGGAATTAAAACAATCTGAGATAAGCAACTACTTTTAACAAGACGTTTACAATAGGAATTCATCTGTCCAGGTTACGTGAGGACCAGTTTATTCAATTGTGGATTTATAGTTGCTCCTGCTTATCTCAGTTAACTGTAACAAATTCGAATATGTAATAAGTGGCTGATAATTCAAACAGAGAAATCCACACCAGAACAAATCAAATTGTAACATTTCAGAGCATATAGTCTGAGACTGGAATACTTAGCATGCGAGAAAATCATGGTAATAGTTTATAACTGTGTTGTATTTAGTTATTTCCCGTCTCACTTCAAACTGTGTACTCCTCCTAAGTAAATAGTCCGACTTTGGCTGATTTCAAATAATCACCTACTCTCTACATGGAATCATTTCAGGCAATGAACGAAACAAGCAAAGCAATCACCTAATTAGAGCACTTCTATCCGGCCAAAAAGTTAGTAGTGTTGCTATCCAACCATCAGGATAAAGGCGTATACCGTGCACTAGTTCACTCTAACGAATCAACCTACGTACACTGTTTAGAGAAAAGGGATATTCCTCTCAAATTAAAACTTGTGCGAATCACCCTGATTAGTGAACTGCTTCAATAATATAAATATTTCGCACCCGAATAAATATGCGAATATGGAGGTGTGGTTAAAGCACAAGACTCTCCGATAGTAACATGTCAGGTTCAAAATGCCTCTATAAGTTGTGTTAATCTGGGTAAGTGGGTGGCGATATAGTATAAAAAAGAACAATTGTTTTATTAACATAGGTCAAAATTCAATTTTAGATTTTCCCGTCGATTGGTTGGACCGAAGTGCTCGGTCTCAGGTTGAAATGTCGGCTTCTTTGTGCATGTGATTAGAAGTTAATCGGTCTATGGTGACTATCAGTGGAATCCAGGATGTGCATTTTGTCCCATTTGGGACTCGTCACCTGGATGTACTTGCATTCCATAGTGAATGATAATGTTCTGGCTTTGGTGGGAACAACATCATTCACTGTAGAATGCAGGTACATCCACATGACAAGTCCCGAATAGGACGAAACGCGCATCCTGGATTCTACTGCTAGTCACCATACACTAATTCACTTATAAGTCAAAATATTTACAGGTGATTGCCATAGATAAGAGGTAGAAAAATGAGGCGAGAAAATGGGGTAAAAGAGAAACAGGGGATACAAATATTATTAAGTAGATTGAGCTCTGGTTCTAATATACAACGATACCAACGTTTACTTAGCATGTAATAGATTCGAATCGACGCATTAAGCATTGAATAACCACAAAAAATATCTTAAGACATCAAATTTTGCAGCAGTATCCTACCACTTAACATATCAATCAAACACCTACACAGATAATAGGCAGGATGTAGAATTCTTAGTTAGCATTACAAAACAAAACCACAAAAAACTTACCAGTAAATCAGCACAATTGACAAATGAATTAGCTGGCAAAGATAATCTTGGAGGACATGGTAGTCGCCGAAATCGTCGAGATGTCGTAGCATTGCTATTACCACTATTATAAGAATCGCTATGGATACCCATACTATTGGTAAAGTGCGGTGATGACGTAACCGCTGTTGATATACACCTATTGCGACCATGGTTACCCCTCACACAAGTAGCAGTCGGAGTATTCGTTGTAGTAGAAGTTGTCATAGTGCTGTTATTGCTACCAGCTGATGATGATAACTGCCACACTCCAACACCACCCATAGCGCCTATAGCATACAGTCGATTCAATGGTGAAAACATTACTTTATGTATCCGATCTGAATCAGCCTGACTATTGAATATAAGACTAAAATTGATAGAAAAAGAAAAGAATTCAAAACAGAAAAAATGATAACTAAGCGATTTACAGACAGATAATCAGTAGTTTCATTTGTAGAAGATTATGCTGATAGGCCATTCGAGAACTAGTTTTGGCAGATATGTTATGAACGTGCATAACTTATCAATAAACATTATACACAGTGTAAATATATATACCTAGGCAAATTATGTAAATTGCCTTAAATTCGGAGTGTAATGATCTAACCTTCAATTAAGGTGTATATCCTTTTTCGGTTGACAAATTCGGTGACGAATATTTATAATTGCGCAATGTACCCCCACGTCGGTGGCACAGCGGTTAGGACGCTCGCCGACCATTACCATGATCCGGGGTTCAATTTCTGGCCGCTACACTCTTTTACCTCGCTAAACCAGAAATAATGCTGGTAAAGAGGAAAGGTTGGGCATGAGGCTAGCAACCCCATCTTGCAAAAATAAACACTGCTACAGAAACTTCAAACCATTAGCTTGAGGCCCTATGTTCCACTGGGAACGTGAAGGAAAACAAAAGAAATATACCCCCACTCTGAACAATACCAATAATGTGATAAATAAAAGCTTGGATGTAAAATGTACCAGTGATTTGGTGATATATGTTAAGACACATCCTATTTGTTTTCGGCGGTAAATATTGTAGTTCACTTGATTAGATGAAGTATCTATACTATCAGTATGATCCCCCACCACTCATTAGGAGTGAAGTATATCCTACACGGACACTACCAATGCAATGAAAGGAAATTTAGGAAATTGCATCAACCCCAGTGGACTGAATGATGACAACATCTCAACACGGATACAAAAGGCTCATATGGCGTTTGCCAATCTGCACCATCTCTGGTGTAGACGTGATATCCCGCTATCCATCAAAGGATATGTATACTGAACACCTATTCACTCCATTTTCCTCTATGACTGTGAGACATAGTCATTAAAACTCCACTTTGACTAATACACCGTTTTTGTTTACAGTCGTTGTTGTTTATCGTATATACAATTCTGCATTTGTGTTCCTTCGATGGTGCATTATTTTGGCTGACGCAGCAAGTAATTTGGCTGATTTATGGACGATATTGATTCAAAAAGCTTTAAATATTTTTGCAGTGATTTTAGAGATGTTTTTCATATATGGGAGAACGATTTTCTATGTGCTTTCATTGCAAACGCTTAACTTTCAAACGTTCCAAACTTATCAAGTTAATAATTCATTACCATAAATAATAATGGTCAAACAATAGAGAATAGAATCAGTAATGCAAAGAGAAGAAGAACAAACAAACTATTCTTACTTATCATTATTATGACTCGATGATACACGTAAATCCCAAACCCGTACTCCTCCATCATTGAATCCAGCTGCGAGTAAATGATTATCTCCACTTTGAGTAAGACATGTTACCGAGGTGTCTGCACCAGTATTCAAATCTCTTAATCTTGATTCAGAATAACAATCCCATATACGTATTGTTCGAGTATCACCTGAGACAGATAATTGATTTGCTTGTTGATTCCAATGGACAACAACACCGATTGGATAGTCAGTTTGATGTAAATCAGAAATACCAGACCTTTATATATCAGAAAGGTAAACGATGCACAAAACAATTTGAGGCAAGAGGGAAATAATAATTAACGGAGAATTACTTGTGCAGAAAGGGTTTAATGAATACCTGTCACATTATGAAACTGAAATGAAGTCGGAAGTTATACAACAACAACGACCCGTATTTATGTGGAGTCGGGGAAATAAGCCACACCTTTTGTTTGAGAGCTCGTGATAATAGCTGGTTCATCGAACAACGGTAAAAGAGTGGAGTAAATTTCTAACACGTGGTCCAGTGTTTGGAAACCGAGAGTCTAGAACAATAAGTCACAGTAAAGTACTATGTTGAACCAGTCACTCAGTTCAGAATTATTTACCTATTTTTGACCTGATGACTACATTTCAATTAAATTACTTTCCTAAAAAGGGCCCGGGTTGGGGCCCTCGGGACTCTAGGAATCAATGGCTGGAGACAATAGGTGACATGGCTCAAAATCGTTGTCAATGGCGCAGATGTATTCAGTCTCTGTAATCTTTCATATTCCTTTCTACCATGACCCATTCTGTTTCACTCTCATACTTGTCAAACTCTATTGATTCTCTCCACTCATCTTCTTGTCTACCTCTGTGTGCTATTTGGAAGGTGGCAACTCGAACTGCTGCACTTCGGTACCAAGTTCTATGTTGAATCCAGACAGACAGACAGTCTGAAAAGACAACAAGGAAATGGTACTACGTAGCGTGAAGGCAGCATGACATATATAGTTTCTTCAGTGATTCACTGCATACAAAATGACAGATGAACAAGTTACACGGTATAGGTTATCACTATTAGAGAAAATTAAACATTTTAGATATAAAGGAGGAAATTCGTATCTCAGGTGGGTGATTACAGTGTAGTTCTCTTCTCTGAGCTAGACGGTTCAGTCGCGAAGCTTTTCTTCGTCTTAACAGATGGCATCTAAATTGAAGCCCTATGTTCCACTGGGAACGTAAAGGAATAAAAAAGTTTCTAATAAAAGTTCCAGTTAAGAATACACGCACAGAGTGAAATATACTGTGGTTAGGGTTCAATTAACGAAATACTTAAATCAGAAAACGTTTTTGAAAAAGGTGGCAATGGTAACCTACCAAGCAGTGAGTATCTCTGGATCTTGACCAAGATGATGTGTATAATTACGCCATATACGAATATAACCATCATTTGTAGCTGTTAATAGTAAACTTTGCTCTTCAGCTGCATTGACAAAGTCCACATCGGTAACATAACCTGCCCGTGAACACCTGTAAGGGGAATCAGTAAAAAATAATTAGACTTCATGACAATGAAGATAGAATGAAACAATGAAAAAAGCAAAAATAAGTTGTCAGTGCTCAGTCATGACAGATACCACGGTGTTTATAGAAGCAAGACAGACTTTCAATAATCTGAAAACAGTGTAGAAATCTGCTGAACTAAACATAAAGAAAGGGACTCAGAATTTCAACACTAACGTCAAATCAGTACTTCTATGTGGTTCAGAAACTTTGAGTGTCACCACCAAAAGTATTTATAACAACCAGCTACAGAATTTTATCAACAGTGGTCTCCGCTCCATACAAATGGACAGACGGCCAGAAGGAATTAGCAATACAGAACTCCAGCTAATAACCCAGTGCTTAACAAATATGTTCAGGGAAATGTAGATGGAAAAATGTGAGATTGTGAGACAGCTTGTGGTACCAACCAGTGATCACCCAAACCCAGAACTCAAAAGTTGAAGGCTACACGTTAAAACCAGTGAGTCACATAACTTCCAATTCGTGACCTGAAAACCTATCATTTAGCAATTGTGGCAGCAGTAAATAAAAAATATTAAAGTATTACCATGTCACGTGCGTCGGTGGCATAGCGGTTAGGACGCTCGCCGACCATGCACATGGTCCGGGGTTCGATCCCCGGGCGACGCACTCCTTTACCTCACTGAGCCAGAAATAATGCTGGTAAAGAGGAAAGGTTGGGCATGAGGCTAGCAACCCCATCCTGTAAAATAAACACTGCTACAGAAACTTCAAGCCACTAGCTTGAAGCCCTATGTTCCACTGGGGAACGTGAAGGATAAAAAATAAAAATAAAAAAATTACCATGTCACTGTTTGGATTTGAGTGTAATTTTCGGTATGAATTAAACGCGTTTTCTCATTGTAATCTGTCTCCATAAATTTTAAACAAGAAAACCACTTAGTGACCCAGGAATGAATGACTGAACTTCGAAAACATACTTGCATATAGCATCACCAACAGTATTAGAGACACTATGATATGATTTTGCCATAATCATGTTTAAAAGATGGTTGTGAATTTGTATCAGTAGTTTTACTTTGGCTTTCATCATCCATTATCGTTCGAAGTAGTTCAGAAAAACTTTTATCATCGTACGTTACACGAACTTTCGTCCTACATCACGTTTGATAAACCGATCGGATCAGTCTCATTGAACTGAGTCTAGAGAAACTCACTCCCTTTTTTAATTGCCCCTTGCTTGTAGGTTATAAGCTCTCTTTACTATCGGTTCTGAAACAGACTGAATAAGTTGCAAGACTTCGACAAAATGAGTCATTTGTTTCTGAACAATGCAAAGTTCCGACTTAACAATGTTGTTAAAAAAATCCAATTTTGGTTCTTTATCCTGTGTACAGAAGATTTCCAAAGTGATTTCAGGGTGACGAATGTCTATCTTGTCTTTCTAATTCAGTTTTTGACGCACCTTAACCGGCTGTAGCTGAAATGTGCCATTGCCCAAATAAGTGAGAGAGGTGACCTCTTTCAAATTCCTTCCGTCGACACTGACTGGTATTTCTTGTTGTTGGTTTGGCTATCTTCATCACTTCGGTCTTCTTTATGTCCATCTGAAATCTTGTCTTCCCTGCCTCTTCTGTCGAACTGTTAGTTGTCACCTCACGATCTTCGAGTTTGTATGATATTTGACATAACTCGTCTACAAAGTCCAAATATTCTAGAGTCTTCTTATCGTATTCTTGCCTTCTCGATCCCCACGGTTTGATGCATGATCCAGTCCATCACAATCGGATTATCGTCGTCGATAGCAGATATACATGTCTTATTGGTTACAGGATTTCATCTTGAGCTGACACCGGTTAGAGAACCATTGAAAAACGTGGGAGTACTGTGTCTTATTTCAGTCTTCACTTCAAACGCTCCACTAAGTTTACCGTTGTAGATCACCTGACATGCGTGATTGTCATATAGCTGTTGAATGTGGTTGTTAAAGGTTTGTGGTATTCGGTAGTGTTGAAACAGTCTCCTATCCAAAACACGCATAAAGTCTTCTTAAAAAGTATCAATTCAGTTGGCAAGTTTTGTTGAAACCTTCAGAAAAAGGCGTTATTTGTAAATAAACACGTAAAATGTATGTAGACAAAGGACTTACAACTAACCAACCATCCCATTTGAATACAGAAAATATCTTCATTTAGACAGTTAGAAAGCAAAAAGATTGAGCAAAGCAATATTTACTTTTCAATTAGATCCCGACTACTTCGCCCCCTTCCTCTATACCTTTAAAAATTATAATTGTCTAAATTATTTTATTATTTTTCTGACTACTTCTTCTTTAATACCAAGTTACCATTGTCCAAATCGTTTTATTTTCTTTAACAATCAGTTACGTTATCAACTTGAGCACACGCTTATTTCTTAATTACTCTTCATTTTTCAAAATTATGCATTATGCAGTCTATGTGTTTCAACCATTTCTACCCTTTAATTGGGTGTATTAATTTTCTTCGTTAATTATCACCCCATTGACATGCTGATATTGACTAATTATTGTTAACAAATATACCGCCACTTGATTGGTAAAATTGTTGTGTATTGTAATAGAAATTTGTTAGAGTAAACCCAGAGATGATATATCTACACTTACCCGTCTACAGACGACAACGGAGACGATATTTCAGGAAATAGAGGATTCGATAAATCTGATAGATTGATATAATGTAAGCGATCCAAGTTCTTTGATGAATGTATTGCAACACCTTTTTTTGGATTAACAACAACCAAATATGGTTGATATGGATGAAACTTTATTCTTGTTGATATACCGTCGAGTTCACTATTACTATAATCACTACTAATACTACTAGGAGCAGTAGTAGTGGCAGCAGTACAATTGTAAAGTGCACTAGGATGAAGTGTAACAATGGTGGATGAATTGCTTGTACTATTACTACCTCCACTATCATTACTATGCAGACTGATACGGCTGCTACTAGTGTTATTGGTATTATGATCAGTTGAAACACTTCGAGTCATACTTGCCACTGGTGTAGTAGGACAGCATACTTCACCGGCGAAACGTTCCCATTTTATACGTCCTAGACGAGAAAGTTTACGTTGTCTTCGTAGACGATTTACACGGTCTGTATAAGCAACAGCATCTGGATCAACCGAGACTGTACCCAAGGAGATTAATTCATTGTCCAAAACTAAAAGTAACAATAAGCCAAAATATGCAACGTTATAATTCTACTGGAAATAACAATGAATCATGAAAACACTATGATGGAAACGAATGAACGCGTGATGAACAAGATGCGGATTTTTGAAGACTAATGTCAAATCAGTACTTCATACTGATGAAAAGATAGTCTGCTAGAAAGATTTAGCAACACGAAACTCTGACGATGAACTAATCAAGCACCTATTGCCTAACAAATATGCCGAAGGAAATGAAGCTAAAAAAACGGTGAGTGAAATCACGCTCCAGCAAACGACGAGTTGGACATTGGTGCGAGGCTGATATAGAGGCGGTGGTCGTGTGAGAAGAGGATCAAAGTTTATAGGCGATCAGAGATTCAACTTCTAAAGGCCTATGTTTGACTCAGAACGGAATGGAATATTAATAATAATGCAAGGTGAGCAGAGAACAAATGACATTATACATATATATATATATATATATATATATATATATATATATATATATATATATATATATATATGATTTTGGTATGTTTACACAAAAAACATCACGTCATCACTAACTTGGTTGGTTAGTCAAACTCTCATTATTTTTGAATTTATTAATAATATAGTTGTCATTACCACTGCCATGGTGAGCACTCAATTGACCATAAGTGGACAACAGGGGGCGAGTGAACCAACGACATGACCATGAAAAGAACTGTGTACGCACGTCTGATAAATTCGAAGAAGGGGAAGCGTTACAATTATCATCGCTTGTATTATCATTATTGTTACAATTACCAGATGTATTAATGGACGATGGCGTTATCTAATAAAGAAGAGAAAGAAAGTAAGGAATAAACAAAATATCATAAAGATTTCATATTTTTGTACTGGCATATTCACGGATGCTGGTTAATTGTACAAACTGTAGGAAGTGGACTTGGGAGTGAGAACCCAAGATGCGCCGGAGTGAAAGTCCAGTGTAATCAAACCAACAAGTGACCGATTTAATCCTTATGCTTCCAACTGTCCTCTTAAAGAGTTGTATAGACAAATTTAGAAGCAAAATTAACAAAATCGATTGCATATCAAATACAAACTAGATAAGATGGATGGAGAACAACTGAGGAAAACCAAAGAATACTGGGGAGCTCTGTTTTCTTTGTTTTTCATTGCTTTCTTGGATAACAATACTTGATACAAATCAAGGTGGATTTTTCGGTGTTTTCATGATAAATTTTTATACATCCGGTCTACGATAAAGTAATACTAGCCGGTGTTATACGATTACACAATTATGTAAAACTGTGAATAGACAAATTGTGGAATCCCAAGATAGGAAGAAACACACCTATCCAATGCTTTCCATAATATATCTGTTTGTGTTGAAATCTACAGTCAAATTGCTTCAAAATAATAGCATAAGTAAAGAAAAAACTGAAATACATTGTCGATTCACATATTTTTTAACATTATGTAGCCTACTCACAAAATTGCACACATTAAACCACTTCACCTGCTGTTTTATTAACTGGACGGAATTTGGAGCAAAGTTCACTGCTAACAAACATATAGAGGTAAATATCTAAATCTTTATTTTGTTGTTTATTTATTGACTTTCATGTAGCCATTTTGTTCTAGGTAATGAAAATTGCATTACTTTTGTTGTACATGTGGAATTTCGAATCTAACCAGAAGACAAGCAAAAATCAACTATCTACTTCAGATGTCACAATGTCTACGGTGTTTATCGTATTTTCAAATTATTGATTCAGATTTGACTAAATTCCCTATGAGGCGTTGGTAGTTCAGCGGTGGTATGCTAGCTAGCTTACCACACAAGTGACCAGGGTCCGACGTACTCCCCAACATCGCCTAGCCGGTAACAGAAAGCCCAGAAAAGTTGGATGGTTAAACGTGAGGCTAGTGACTGCACACAGTTAGAATCGTCAACGTTACCGGGACTTCAAAGCCTAAAGCCCTATGCTTAACTCAAACTTATCGAATTGACTGAATTAACCTAGGTATTTGGTCTAACAGTCGCGACAATGCATGACACTCAATTCATAAAATACTACACTTAGCATCATTTAATGAGATGACGATAGGATAGAGGGGAAGGTTAATGCACCAATGAACTAAGCAGTTATTCACTGTTTACCAAGAGGCGTTTAAGAAATTATATACAAACTCAGGTAATGAAAATCGATGGTAATGGCATAGATGCCTGTTCATCTGAGAATACTGCACACATGGTTACATCTTATAAATACACATTGTCTTTTCTGTTTGCTGTGATATTTTTCCCCTATTCTGTTTTACTAATGTCAATTCTCGCATCAACACAAATTTTATCAGTAACATTCAACTATGTTGCCTAGCCAGTCCGACTTTATAATATTTTGCTCCAACCATGCAATAAACTAAAGCTGATAGAAATGTCTGGAATAAGTATCAGTGTCGACTGTTAAAATGGTTGTTTTTTTGGAGAAAAGCAAACGCCCATACAATCCGGTAGAGCACACTGATATGGAATATGATGAATTTAATTTAGCTTTTGGTCACTGGAATAACTCAGGTTTGATTAGTACTGGTAGACGTTTACCGATCAAGCGCACACTAAGCCGATTATCAGTTACTGAATTTCATCAATGTAAGTGGAATGTGTAACAGGACAAAGGTCTAAAGTACTCAATAGTTTTCGTAGCAAAACCTATGATTTCAATAATAACAACTAGTAAATCACTTTTTCCAACCGATAAGTTCATAAACTCTCATACACACTAGGTTTAATCCACGCTGGAGTCTACATCGGTTTCATAACAAGATATCTATGAACAGTGAAAAGCAATAAACATTTCTAAGCGATAAATAAAGAAGGCGTACAGGATTTTTATTCAGAATTGTATTCGGCAGATTTGTAACCGATACACGTAAACGCTGATCAGTTTGTTGATGTCTTCTACCTGGAAATTGAGCAGAATGAATAAGTGTCGCCCCCGCTGCAATTGCGGTAGGTGTCTTGAGCGATGACGTCAAATATGTTGTAGAATTCGAAGAAAATTCTTTAGCACCGACCCTATAAAGAGGGAAAAATTCACTGATCAAAATGAAATCAAATATTTTTTTCAAATTAATAAAACGACTACAGCTGATTTCCGCTGACTACAAAATTAACTAATATCCATCTTTAATTAAGCGCCGAATTTTACATTTGACACATGGAGATCAATCGTCACTCCACCATTAAAGGACCTGGCAATGGCAAGGCTGGATGGACTTCAATCTCTCCCTCGTAACCCTATCAGGTGGTCACAGGTTCATAGCCACTACCAGGGAAGTCATATCCACTATCTTCACATACAGTAGCAGCGTCCCTCAAAGAAGTCAAGTAACGAATGAGGTTGTGTGGTGCTCACAAGAGAACAGGTCGACGTGCTAGTCTACCTAGAAAAGATGGAGAACCTGATACAAAACATATAGTGTATATGGACTAGAGAATCCGAAAACATAGAACGACGTATGATCCCATTCTGGAGATCAGTAACCATGACTCATGATGCTGCTCCAGTGGATCAGACGTCAAGTCAAAGACTACAGGAATGACTGCTTAAGAGGACCACCTGCTCCGGTCTACGTGTCCGGCCAGTATTCCAGCCTTCAAACAAACTACGAGACCTCCTCTTGAAACTCAGCATGAACAACAAAATTCAGATTTTCAACACAAATGTGAAGTCAGTCAGCGTCACGAAAACAATTTACAAGTCACAGACTTTTATCAACTGCTGTCCGATTCGCTAGCCCCAGGAGGAATTAGCAAGAAGCAACTCTGGTTGGCGACAGACCAATCAAGAGCAGACTGCTCAACAAATATGCAGGAGAAAATGCAGATGGATCGGCCATACGTTGGGGAGGCCTTCGAATGATATAGCGTGCAATGCAGACCAACGCTCGAGTGGAATCCCAATGGGAAGCGACGAGTGGGTTGTCCTATGGTGACAAGGAGGAGATGAGAAATTATGGTCAATCGTGGACCCAGTTGAAGAGGATAGCAGAGTATAGAAAAAAGTAGAGATGTATTGATGAAGCGCTATGTCCCACTGGGGACCCAAGGGAATAATAATATAATCTCTTAGCGGCCACAATGTGCCAAGTTTGTGTTTTAGTAAAAATAATGACAATAATATAATGAATCAACAGAGGTATTTTGCACGAAGTCGATAAATACCGTGTTAAACGAAAATGACATGACATAATTTAGAACTATTTGAATAATTAAAACACTGACAGACTGAAATATTAAAAAGACGGTTGCAGTGAAGAAAATTTTCTTTACGACGACGTCATCAACTAGGCTGTACATTGGTAAACGCCTTTGTAAATCTCTGAGGAAAACATACTTCGCCGCAAACCTACGAATGACGTTATCCGGCAAGAAACTGTCCAGCCAGAACGCGAAAGACAAGTTGTCGCATTGGGCCACTTCAACGTGCATATAACAGTTTACTTGATCGTGCAGAGTTGAGTACATCGGCCGTATCATGAGCCAACTTGAAAAATGCGCTCGTGGACACTATCCAACCTGGCTAGTAAAAGGAGAGCGAAAACGTATATATAGCTCAGTGACACAACATCTGGTCAATTCAGGACATTCAGCGCCATTCGAAAAATTCTTCAAAGTAATATTCAGGACTCGATCAAACCTATCAGAAGTAGTAAAATTAAGACATATAGGTATAACCGAGGCACAAGCCATCCAAAAGCTCAAACCCACGCTACGTATCTAAAACAAATATGTCCATGGCCATGATAAACAGGTGATTCTTTTAACATTGACTATCCCATTGCATTTTTTATCCATACTTCCTGTTTATTCATGTTATTTTTAAGTTTTTCTTAATCCATATTTACACTACCATATTTCATATCCGAACTACCTGTCTAATTTGTCATTTTACTATTTCTACATATTTAATCCTTAATCTGATAAACAATTATTTGTCACATTAGCTATGATTCCACTACATTTTTTTATTCAAACATCCTGTTTGTTTTGTTATTTCTACATTTCTAACCCCTAATTGCACAATATGTAAATCTTCCCAATAATTATGATTCTACTTTGTTCGAGTTTTATCCGTCTCCCTGTTTATTATGGCATTTTAATTCCTAATTGTAATTTTATTAATTTGACCCTTAACCCGAAATTATTCTGGAACTTCTCCACCCATTTATTATAAGTACACGAATGTACAGCATAGTTGACGAATTCCTCGAAAAGAAAATTTTCTTCGCTGCAACCGTCTTTTAAATAATTCCTATGATCCAATGAGTATATTCCGTAACCTGAAGTGTATACTTGAAATGCATTTATCTTATTTTGTTCCAATATAATTGATCCTAACCAATTAGTGCGATTAAATGAGGCAAGTATGCTTTTCGTTAGAACTACTTTCAAGTATTCAGCTATGAGTTATACTAAATGTGTATGAAGATTAATTAGGTAAGCAAACACTCAAAGTCAGAGTAGTCTGAATTGATACTCAGCAATATAGAAGTGGAAAGGAGTGGTCTACCGGTCACTTAGCTTACTTAAGAAATCACACAAACTCCATTGGTTAACTCGAAATTGTGATGCTCTCAACAGTCTCACGCATTCTGAAAGCTTTTTCATGGTGGAGTATGTAACAAACAATCAGGCTTTCTGTATGACTGACTGTCAGAGATGAGAAATGTAATAACGCTGAACAGTTTCAACTAGGTCTACTAGTGCAAGGAATGGTAGAGCCAGCATATCAGCGAAGTCACATTTAGAAATCTTACTATATCAATGATGATTAATCTCTATTCATGATGAAATCTACCAAGAATGGTTAACTAATAGGATTGTTTTTTCTCACAATTAGAAAAACACCCAACTACTAGTTAAGTTTTCTCTTATTTACAGAAAAAAACACCTAAAATACAAACTAAACAGATATTATTATGATTATAATAATTTAATGAATGTTAGTTAGTCTCTCAACACTTGAAAAGAAAGTACCTACCGGTCAGATATACCATTCATAACAGGCACGTGATTCACTCCACTGGATTTTGATTGGACATGGGGGTTTATTGGAGCACAGGAGGATATTTCAATGGTCGCCGCTACATGTGATGAAATGTCCGGTGTAGACGATGAATTATTGACAACCGCATTTTTGATATTAGGTGAATTATGCTTAACCTGATATTCAGTCTTGAGAGTTATTTGTTTACCGGAAAAAGGAGAAGAAAGGTGAAAATCAGTGAACAAAAACAAACAAAAAAATACTCAATGCAACTGCAGACCAACAAATCCACAGAATACATATTTTAAAGGCAAAAACGGTGCTCTATTCGGATAGTAAAATAATGTACATACATACTTATCATTTCTTACACTTACAGCATGTTTCATTGCTTTTCTTCATCATCTTCTCCTTTGGAAGCTTTCTCCTCATACATGTAAGAAGTGTGACAACTCAAACTTCTTAACAGGTGCAGACGCACGGTATTAAAACAATAATATTGCCCATATATATATATATATATATATATATATATATATATATATATATATATATATATATTCATGTTGACATACGAAGAAGAAACCAATGCGATACATGATGACTGTAATCGTGTTCTACTCTTTTAAAAAATACTACTCTTTTCATAATCATTAACGATAAAACAACGCCTACAGTCCAGTGCCAGCTTTCTACTATGTCATTGCACACCACCGATTTAGTTGGTAAGAATTCAGTTACGTGGAACAAATTTTTCACTAACTAAGGTATGAGTTGAATTTAATGTATAAGGACTGATGCTGTTACTACAGAACACAGTAGTATTTGTAAGGAGAAATACTTATTATTCTTATGATGTATGGCGATTACAAAGACCTCATCCTGAAGTTGGAATTCACGGACCATTAAACCGGGTCCCAGTGGCTTAACGGTCTACGAGTTTGCCTTGTAACCAGAAGGTCCTGAGTGGGTGCGTACTTCTGAAGGGTACCAAACCAGGACGAAACAGCTCTCCAATACTCCCTGACTCGTTTTACAATGGTTCTCTAACCTATGACAGTTCATGATGAAATCCTGAAGTTTCAATTAACAAGTTATTCGTATTTCGCTCTCACCTCATTCTTTCTACATTGTTTCAGTTTTCCTCTTCCCAACTTAATCCGTCAAGTCCCTATTGAAAATACTTGCAGAGAATATCACTCACAATATACCACTCATAAGTTTTGCCAGTAGCTCACGCCACAATGATGGTATCCCGTTGACTAGGGCGAAGTAGGTATATGAAGACTGAAAACCCAAACCCAGTGACAGGAAGTCAAGTGATTAGGTCAATGACCCTAAAAGACATACTCCGAATGACAGAGTCGTCATATAAAAAAATTAGTACAGTGGATATTTGAATTACTGCAGCCTCTACAAAAATATTTCTTAAAATACATTTTCTTCTTTGATTCCAGTTAGTTAAGAATACTTCTGATTCTAAGGCAACAGTTTAACATTCTATGCCATTTGATGTTATTTTTCTCATTAAGTATCAGCTAGTTATTAGGACTATTGACTAAATATGTTGAAAAGTTTATGATGTAATTATTTCGACAAAACACTTGAGGTAATTGCTACTTTTGAGTACTGAAGGTGTTCAATTTTATTTCGATGGCCAGCTGTTCCATCAAGATGATGGTTATACAATAGGAAGCCCTGTTGAATCAAGAAGTGCTTTATTCAAATCTTGAAATTCCCATTTTGATTCAGTATATCCAACAGACGGATGCCCTGAGAAATTTACTAACGGGTACTATACAAGGATGGGCGTCTATAAAACTATCCAAACAATTTCAAAATAGCATGCACCAACTTGGGATGCAAATAGATAAATTTCAAGAAAATTTGACTGTCCACTTGCGTGATCAAGCATCTACATGTATAGCGGGAAATAACCTTAAACCAAGATGTCCAAGAGTCTAGATTACAGTTATAATACTGACGATGTCAGGTACTTCTCATCATTACCACTGTTATTATCATTACCTTGTTTAGAACTTTAGAAAAATTATGGTAAACTTTCATCTGGACGAATTCGATTCAATGCATGTGCGTGGGTAGCTAACCATGATTCAACTCTCAGAGCCGTCATTAACAGCTGAGTTTGGCTATAAACGAGCAACCTGGATAGCAAGCGCTACTTATTTGATGTGAGTGGTATCTAAATAGTGTTACTATGTAACGAATTTTGAGAACAGTTATGTTTACTTAAATGTTATTAGTAAATTTTAACATACCTTTTCACGTATCTAGGATATAAAATAATAAAACAGAGGGAAAAATGGTTTAGTATTATTTACAATAAGATGAATATGAAAGTAATATAAACTAATAAATAAAAATTTAATAGACCATATAATTTAAAGGTACGTTGGTGGTTCAGTGGTAGAATGCTTGCCCAGTACACGCCTGTTCCTCGGCTCGAATCACAGGCAACACAATTCTGCAACACAGGTAGGGTCTGGAATGAGACAAGCAAAACCATTTCGTATATAACAACACCATCAGTACTGACACTTTATTTCCTCAAGCCTGGAACCCTATATCTTGAGTCGGGAAGAAAAGGAATAGAGGAACCAGACACTAAGCCATCATCTACCGAGTGCCTAATAAATTGCCAAAATCACCGAAGTACCGCATGCTCCAAGCAGCAGAGGCTATCGCAATTCGTGTGAAACAACCAGTGCTTTGTGTGCAAAAGAAGCAAGTCTAGCCAGCCACTACTACTGCCCTGGCCTTCAGTAGAGACTATAAATTCATGAATTTGTATTATTATCTTTCCTAGTTTTTCTGACATTCAGTTTATTGTTATGTTGATAGTATTGAGCTGTCATCTATTGATATTATTGATTCGATGTTGTTTAGACAACATCAATATTGTTCATAACACTAATTCATTCACTATCATGTATGTAGAACTGTAGAACCTGATGATGAAGTTATCGAAAAGGGTATTTTTTGTTCAGTAACCATTCTTTTGAAAATAATTCGAACAGTGATAACAATCTGAATTTAAGATGTATTGCCTGAATCAATTAGATCCATATCTGCATTTCATCGACAGCACATCGATTCAGTACTCATATTCACCTGTCCACAAACTCGTACACCTCACAGTAATGTAGGCCCTTTGGTTGATACAGATTTTAATTATTAAACTATGATGTTATTAGGTCCGGGTTCGAAATGATCTGACCGCTTTCGTTTGGAAAGTAGATAAATTTAGGAAGCAAGCACCGATTTGCATACAATAGTACCGTAGTTAAACGCCAAAATCAAGTAAAAGATTACAGGATATATTACTAAGTATATCTAAGCTGTCTGACCACAATATTTATCGAATACCAGAAAACGTTGGAACTAAACTAAAATGTCGATATATAACCACAAAAATTCGTATTATACCTCTAAAGGTATTAATTTAGTTGAACACTTCTCGAAAAAACCAATAGTTTCAACTAATAGTATTTTAACCTAATCAATCCAGAAACTATCGGAATCTGAAAAGGTAAGATAGAATCTTTATACACAAAACACTTAAGAAAGTCGCATACTAGGGAGTATACTATTATGCATACTTCTCTAATTTCGTTAATTTCTCACTTCAGTTAACAGCTTATAAGACGTCGTCCACACATCAGCTCACTATCACAGCAATGAATGAATAATGTAAGCATTGAATTCAGGAGGCCAAAGAACTATGTGCTGTTACTAGGAAAGAAATGCTGAAATCCTAGGTCTAATGATCTTCTGATTATTCAAATTACGGTATACAAGTGAAAACGCAATATCTAGCCAACAATATACATTTTGTGAAAATTAGCCATTGAACTAACTAGGATGACTATAAATGACAGTGAATCGTGAATACAGAGAAAACAATAGGAAAAGGATTACATTCAACGAAACATTGGTTAGCCTACCTTAGCATATAAATAATGAATCAAAATTGTGGCTAGTCGAGAGATTTCTGGATAAGGATCTTGTGCTAACTGAACTAATGTCAGCCAAAATTGAACATAAATGTTTGTACTAGGTGCATTTCCACTACCTGCACACAAAAACAAACAAACCAACAAGAAAATGAGAGGAAACAAAAAGCAGTCAAAAACGCTGACGGATAAATGAACATGCAGAACAATGTAGATGCATAAAACGACAGAAGATAACAGTTCGCACTTTCGTAAGAAAACGATAGTAAACATAAGCAGTGATCAGTTTGTTTTTGTATTTCCTTCCAAATGTGACAGATAACCAATGATGTACAAATTCGAACAAAGCATTTCACCGTTAGGCAAAAAAATTTGTAAACAACACAATACGGAAGGAAGTACAAGGAAAACGTATTCTCGCCAACATACTAATACTATACGTTAATAAACACCTATCAAAGAAAAATACAATGATTAATACAGCTCAGTTAACCTTACTAAGAGAATCATGACTGAAATAAAGAACCATTATAAGGAAATACACAGATACATGTGTACTTCAAAGAGTAATAATGATAATAATATTTCTATGTCAATATCGTCACGAACTGAAAGACAACGAGCATAAAAGTCTCTTTCACCATTGTCCGGAACTTTCCAGAAGTGTACGCCCATAACAATCACAATGGCTACAAGCCTCGGATCTGAATAATAATAGTACTGTTTTATTGATATAAGTATAGAACTTGTGCTCTGTGGTAGAGTGCAACTCCATTATGGATAAGCTTCTATTTTGATAAATCACAGTGTTATACAGTAATATTAACTGATGACGTTTCGAACACAAACTGTCTTTAAAATGTGGAGCCTCACAAAACTTTTCCACCGAAGTGACAATTTCTTTTAAAGTTCAGTTTTGATTTTTCCATAGACTGATTGGACCAAAATATTCAACCTCTGTCAGTTCCTAGTTCGGACGATTCGAGAGTAGCTGAGGATAAACTTCAAATTACTTCAAATACCCAAGTTGTTTCCATTCAGCCAAATATATCATACTTGTGGATAGAATGAATAACTTAAAACTGATATACAGGTCCATTATGTTAACCGCATTGGTAGTTCAGTGGCAGAACGCTCATCAACCACTCAAGTGGTACGAGGTTCGATCCTCGGCCAACGCACTCCTAAACCACGCTAGGCTTGTAGTGCTTCCGATAAAGAGGGGAGGTTGGGGGTACGGCTAGCAACCCCATCCCATAGAAATAAACGCCACTCCTACCCAAACTTCAAAGCTTTAACCTGAAGTCCTATGTTCCAGTGGAAACGTAAAGTAATAAGATAAAAAAAATAAAAATATTAACCCTAAAGTAGGTTTGTTGATCAGATGCTTCATATGGCCTGAAGATATCTTACACTAACAGGCCAAAGTGACCAAAAGTAGAATATAACATAGTTTGTTCAAAATGCTTTAATCACCATAAATGCGTTATAAGTCAATAGATTTCAGTTTCCATACTTGTGTTCCGAAGAACTGATAAATTTTAAATGACCGTTAGACTTCATACCCTCATACATGTCCCTGAAGCGTTCTATATATTACAAGTGTCATGACATCAACAGTTGGTGGCTAATTAATTTATATAACTGGTGGAGAACAATGACCAACAAAAACATCAGTGAATTCTTAAACTAACCAGTGAAAAACACTGAACCGGGACTGGTAGACAATTTATGTAGAACTGGTGACGATGGACGTTGCAAATTTAAATGACCTCTATAATAACTTTGAGATTTAACAGCTAATGGATTATTTTCTCGACTTGTAGACCTCTTGAAGGATTGACTGCCTTGTGAAAATATAGTTGATTCCATTTGACGAGATAAGTGTAGACTGTTATTAATTCCAACGCTAACTGTTCCTCCTCCAGGAGGTGTGATTAAATCTATGAAAAAGGAAGACAGTAATCAGCAATTAAAATAGTCAAGGAAACCTAAAGTGAGTTGGGCAGCTGTTCAGTCTCATAATAATGTTTCTCTTTATTGAGAATACAACTGTGTCTGGAATCCAATCCAGATATTAATGAGATCGATTTAATTTCTAAATTCTTTGAACCTACTAATCTCTGTGAACACTACCGAATATCGTGATGATATATTCAAGCATCATTCACAAACTACCTTTGATCCAATTTTCATATAATCTATCCAATTAATTTTTAGGAAAAAGAATATATCTATCGATCGTAAACTGACACAAAGTTCACTTTAACCCTTGAAGATGAACAATTTGGATTCAGAGGGATGAAGAGACAAAACTATTGAAGACAACTGAACTGTCTAGTGTTTTTTCAATATCTACGGATCCACTGTTTTCTGTCAGAAGTTCATCATTAAAGAAGTGGGAAATGAAATAAGTGTTAATCGTAATCATTTTGTACACTTAATTACTGTCGAATGCAAAATGCTGACTGTTATGTACTCGTCGCTAAATTATTGTTATGGACTGGTCGAGAAACTAATAGTCCTGACGCGAGAAGGCGGAAATCAGAAGACCACTAGGTTTGCGATGATACTTCTATTGTCCAAACACAAGGAGACGAAAATAAATGGTCTCACACCAAAGTGGTAAGTAAGTGAAGTCTGTCTGTCTGTCTGTTTTCGACATAGAACTTTGCACAAATGTGCACCAGTTCAAGTCGCCACATTCCGTGTAGCACGCGAAGCAAGAGAAGAAAGTACAAGAAAAGCATAATAGAGACAGTGAGCAGAGGTGTGAGACAAAGGAATAATAACGAAGAACAAAAACGTTTCATTGGAAATCATAAATCACAAGGAGTGCATGCATCTGTGCCACTGAGAACGATTTTGAGCCATGTCACCAATTGTTTCCAACCATAGATTCTTACCGTCCCGAGGACCCCAACCAGGAAGTCTACACCTTCCTGCATGGCTTAGATCAACTGTTGTGGATTTCATTGACTGGTGAGGCCAAGTTTTTGTTTGACCGCCGCTGGCTAGCTTTTTTCCAGCCTGACCCTATATCCGCTAACATTGCTCGTCGAGGGAGGGGCTGGCTTGGCATACGTAAAACATGTCCTAACCATCTCAGTCTTTGTAACTTCACGACTTCGTCGATTGATTTCCCTGTTTACCTAGAACTCGACGCCTAACCTCTAAGTGAAGTATAGTAGTTCACACAAATTGTGTATGCGAAATATATATGAATGTTCCAGACAAAGCGTGGGAACAAATCATTAGACAGTCTTAACATGAATGGCTAATTATAATGGAGTGTCGATCCAAATATACATAGCGAATATAGCAGACATGTCAACAACCATATATGGATATATGTCACCAAGCAACGGACTGTCAACAAACACTCATATTATATATAATATAATATAAGGAGAATACACATTAATAAAGGAGACAAGTTCACACAAGTGAAATGGTCACAGACTAAGCGAGCAAACAGAAAGAGAGACCAACATGCACACACACACATAAATATATATATATATTGGATACATATCACCTCCCCTTTTGAGAAGATGGATGATTAGTAGGATGTTTACCTGGGGGTTTATCTGGGACCTTTGGGCTTGTTGTTGACGCCTGTCGTTTCGTCTGACTGTTGGGTTTGCGGCTTCGGCTCCGTCCGGAATTGTCTAACATTTTATGCTTCTTGACTGCATTGCATAGCGAATTTAGTGGGACATCAGCCAGATGCAAACGATCGAACCAATCAAGATTTAAATCACTCTTGGTGACGTAGCAAATTCCTGTGAATTTGGTATTGCGGAAGGAAACAGAACATTTGAGTTCACCAATTAGTTTGAGCCGCCCACCACAGGCGCTGAGAAGAGACTGGGAAGTATTGGTGATAGGTGGTCTGCCAATATTATTCCAAAGTTTCTCTGATATAACAGTAATATCAGAGGCGGTATCTAGCTGCAGACGTGTATCATGACCATTCATCTGAAGATCAAGATATTTCCGCATAGCTGGTGTTGTGACTTGACGGGTTGCGCGTAGACTCAATGACTTTTTGGGGATTTAGGACCAACAGTTTGTCGAGCTTTTGCTGGATTTTGACATCTGGGTTTGCGTGGCTGACAAAAACCATTTTTGTGACCGATGATCTTGCACTTGCTGCAACGATGATTTTTGTATGGACAAGACTTTACAAAGTGCCACGCGCCACAATGCCAGCATGGTGATGGAGGGGTCTTCTTTGCAGTATTTTGTGAAGTTGGACGAGTATGTATAGATTTCCGCGGAACATTAGAAAAGTAGGTGGGTCAGGAGTAGCTGATGAGAGATTTTTGCTCTTGCGTAATGCACGAATATCAGAGCTTCTCGGAGGTGTTGATTCGACCAGGTGTGTGTCTTTCTGCAGATTAATCAGCCGTTGATATTCATCAGCTATGTCATGTAATGTTAACTTGGGATTTTGTTCTAGCTGATTGAGCAGTCGAGTTCGGATATCTGTGAAACGAGGAGATTGGAGACTGCATATGAGAATCAAGGCTTTGAATTGATCATCTGTTAAGGACCTGAGTCGAAATCTCTCACATTCTCGGTTGACTGTGCCAACGTGAGTAAGAAAATCATCATTTTCATTCATTGCCAGCTTGAGGCAACGATAACGTATGCTGAATAATGAGGAGTGGTCTCCAAAATGTTCACGCAGCAGCTTTATTGTATCATCGAAACACTTGTCACGTGGTTTCTGGGTAAAATTAGGTTGCAGTACCGTTCATATTCTGCCGGACCCAATTTACGTAGCAACACTCGCACCTTCCAGGCATCGTCTTGTGAGGCGAGATCAACAGTGAATAAATCCTCATAACGTTGATACCATGTGTCAAAAGTGACATTAGCCTCTGGGTCATAATTGAACTGTGAAATACTGTTCACAATGCCGTCGACAGATGGTAGCATGGTATGATTGGGATTGCTTGAAGGTGAAGCTGGACCAGTCTGTTGGTTGACGAACATTTCCATTAATTTCATTTGTTGTTCAAACAATAATTCCAATTTAGAATGATCCATAGTAAATTGTTATGTTGCTGCTGCTGTGTGGTTAATAGTAGTTTTCCCCGTCGCCAAATTGTTATGTACTCGTCGCTAAATTATTGTTATGGACTGGTCGAGAAACTAATAGTCCTGACGCGAGAAGGCGGAAATCAGAAGACCACTAGGTTTGCGATGATACTTCTATTGTCCAAACACAAGGAGACGAAAATAAATGGTCTCACACCAAAGTGGTAAGTAAGTGAAGTAGAGTAGTTCACACAAATTGTGAATGCGAAATATATATAAATGTTCCAGACAAAGCGTGGGAAAAATCATTAGACAGTCTTAACATGAATGGCTAATTATAATGGAGTGTCGATCCAAATATACATAGCGAATATAGCAGACATGTCAACAACCATATATGGATATATGTCACCAAGCAACGGACTGTCAACAAACACTCATATTATATATAATATAATATAAGGAGAATACACATTAATAAAGGAGACAAGTTCACACAAGTGAAATGGTCACAGACTAAGCGAGCAAACAGAAAGAGAGACCAACATGCACATACACACATAAATATATATATGTGGATACATATCAGTGACATAGCACTCCTAGACTTAAGACAGACAGTGAAGAGCTTGATCATGTTGACCACTTCACTTATCTGGGAAGTTGCATCAACTCTAATGGACTGATTGCTAACGAAATTTCAACACGGATACACAAGACGTATATGGCATCTGCCAACTTACGTTATCTCAAAAGTGGACATGATATGCATCAAGAAACGTAAGTTCTGTTCAGTAGTTCAGTCTTTCTTTATGGCTGTGATACATAGTTATTAAAACTGGAAGATATGAAAAGGCTATCTGTCTTCAACCAGAAATATTTGCGCTCTATCTCCTATGTAAACTGATATAGTAACATCCAGGTTAGGAGGAGAGTGATAGGTAACGCGTAAGTCTACCGGTAAGGCCATGTGTTGCGCATGCTAGATCACCCTACTCCTCCACGAGTGATGTTAGCTGATATTGCATTAGGCTGGAAAACAAAGTATAGCATCGATCTATGAAGTCTACAATAGATCGTTTGAGCCACGTAGGGGAATGTACTTTATCTGAATAGGTTCCTCAAGCTTATAAGAACAAATGACTGATAGTCGTTCTCAGTGTTGCAGATGCGTTCACTCTTTGTAATCTACGTGATCCAATAAATCCTCATATTTTTCCATGTTACTATTCTTTCACCCTGATATTTCTGCTCATTGTTCTTTTTGCGCTAATTTTTCTCCTTTTCCCTACCCTGAAAGTGCTATACAAGGTGTAGCGACATGAAATGCCAGACTTCTTGGCGAAGCCTTATGTTGAAACTTAGACACAGTCAATCGCTTACTGTTTAATTAACAGTTACTCGGACATACATAAAGACAACTGCACATATCTAGGTCAGAAATCTGACTGTTTTACATAAAGTAAGCGGAATATATAATCCTGATAAAGATTTGAGATTGGGTTATCTAATTTTTGAATCTGCAAAACGCAGTATAACACAAATAGGAACTATGCTAATTAACATTGAAATCATCGTCGTTCACACCACCATATGTTGGCTAAATCGAGTGGTAAAAATAAATAGACAAGATACGTAAGAGCCTATTACCAAAAAAATATGTCAAAATAAATGGTGAGGTATCAGACACACACTAAGGACACCGTTGAGAGAGTGACATCACGCGCCAGGCACTAGAGTGGAGCTTGAATGAGACACGACAAGATTGTTGTTCGAAGTTGATATGGAAGAGGTTGTGCAAGGAGGAAATATAAACTGATTGACAATCATGGAGCAGGCTAATAAAAATTAGAAAAGAACAGGGAAAAATGGAGATAGCCTACTGAAGCGTTAGTTTCCCCTCGGAATCCAAGGGAATAATAATGATAACCATAGGACAACAGGAAAAATCTGCACTTACTAATCGTACTATGACGCATAGGTCTTTTGATTGGACATGGAGATGCTGGAAAAGTTGACAGTTTTGCAGAATTTTGATGTTGCAGTTGTAGTTGTGATTGTCTCACTTTAATTTCTTGTATGTACTGAGTGCCAATAGCACACAATTGTGATTCAAACTGTTTCACTAACCCACGAAATGCTTCAACTAACAAACAACGAACTAGCGGACTGGCATCACGAGAGGTAATTTTCACTAACTGGCCACCAATTTCATGACTTATCTATAATATGATGAATAATGGTAACAGTAACACAATAAGTAAGGTTAAAAAAGTGTTTATCCAACAACAAAAAGTACATTTGAAAGTGAGTGAGCTATGCCAAACTAAACATCAGGTTAATCACGCAAAATCGCGTCCCGAAGCTGTCGTCAGATAAACGGAGTTATAGCCGTATCACTGGCATCTTCAACTTACCAAAGTCCTAGTAACTTCAGTTTAACTAAACCTACACTAATGTCCGTAAATACCCTACAAACGTTTCTAAACACTATAATACCGTCCTATTCTTTGCAGTTCTCCTCTTGTCTCATTGAAAAACTTCTATTTCAGATCATTTACGATTTAACGACCTTACTTATCATATCTATTACCCTAGGTCTATATAATACTTTCCACATTTGATATTCTACTAACACAATCCTTCCCTTTCGACTTCATTAAATTGTTCAGTACTGATTGATCCTTCACTAACAGTAGGTCCGTCTTTACATAAGACCATTATTACTGTACTATTATTATTATTATTATCGTTATTTGTCACCCCTTGAAATTATATACACCGTACCCCATTTGTTTGTTCATTCCTCTGTAGCATTTACACTGTCTCTCACACCAGTGACCCGAAACACTTCCCTACAACATGTATTATTTTTTGAGTTTTTATTGACAAACACAACACTGATTTTCTAAATTTCATTTTACTTCATGTTCGTATTGACTACACACTTTATATAGACTAAAATGGTAATCAAAACTAACTGACTATCACTCCATTTTCTACAGCTAACAGTATACCTAAAGACTAGTATGATAATGAATAAATCTGGTAGAGAAAAGAGTATTCGAAATTGAAATTCAATAGTGCCAAAATTACCCCTACTCCACTGAGTCAAGAATCAACTAGCACTGGTTCAAAGTGACCCCAATGCAGTTTATGATATAGTTTTAATTTGGTTTTAATGGCTATTGTATATTAAAACTAGTGAATTTATAAATATCGAGTTTGGAAAGTAATTTATTGGAAACAACTGTTCGCTTTAGTTATTCCTGGTTTGAATACATTATGAAGAGGTACAAATTATGAAATAAAAAGGTAAAGTATACATTAGCACTCTCCTACAACACAGAGACCTACCTGATCAGCGTGGTCTTGTTTTGACTGGTCTGTTGTCTGATTCTCTATAAGAGTGCCAAGAGCGTATACTGTAGCAGCTCTAACCTGAGAACGAAGATAAACAATTACAATATACTATGAATTTTCATCAACAGTGATTTACAAAGCTAACAATGTGCATCTGTGAGCAGGATACTCAATTATACGTACATATATTTAATGTAAAGACTAGCATAACAGTATAGAACTTTTGTAGAAAAAGAAAATGTCAACTCGAAATCCAATACTCTAATAATTACCTTCCACGTCAATAAATCACAGACCCACAAGCATTCAGAATCTTAAGTTTAATTTATTTTCTAACAGCTAGAATGTTGCATCGATTAAAGAGGGTGAGATCAACCAGAAAAGTATTACTGGTGGAATTACGACAGTTGTATCTTATCTTTAAGAAAAGGTGAAGAATAGTTCTGAACAAACGTGTAATGCTTAGCTGGTTTTACTGGTGAATTTCATCAAAAACTAATACAACTTCAGAAAAACGAAATATGGAAGAAAAATTGGAATTTCTTTAACATTAAAACATTTACAATAAGTGTGTAGCTGAAAGATGAAGCGTTTCTCAGCCAACAACCACTTGTAAAATTAACATGCAGTTGGTAATAAGGCATACCTAATGTGTGAGAAAAAGTGATAATACCTGACTGCTAAAACTTCGGTAGGTGGAGCAAGGTTCAAACCCATGACCAGATACTTGGAATTTAGGTACGCCAAACAATGTGTCTGCAAGTGAACAACACTTAGGCTACCCTCAATTAGAAATCAATCAATACTACTAGATGCTACTTAAGCTGGAAGTTATGTTGTCTTCAAAAGTGATATTTGTAACGCCAGACAAACTATCTGAGGATATTCATTTTTGAAGGCCTGGTAGTTTAGAGAAATATGGATTTGAGGCTTTTTCTTCACCTACTTCTTCCTCAACATAAAAAACAACATATATAAATTTTCACATATCAACTAACTTTACAAGTTGGTCAAAAACCATTAAACGAAAATAAAAACCAATCATCTGATTCATACAAAACGCACCAATCACCTTAATTGCGGTATGTATCATGTATACCATGCTTAGACGGACTACCGCGACGAGCAATAACACGTTCAGTGCGTAAGTAAAGTTAAAGGACTGACACAAGAAATGAGATAAGCCTAAGGGGGGGGGGCAGTTCACTACAGGTATGGATGTAAATACTGACTTATTGAAATATCGTCTCCCCATCCAAATTTGTTAGTATTTTATTTTGATAATATAAGGCTGAAGACAACATCGCTGCTAATAAACGTCTTTTCGTACCAATTATCTAAAACGTTTGACCCTTTATACTTTTCCTGTTACATGCATTCGGTTGAAGATAAATCTATTTTGTGTAACCTCGCATGGAATCACTGTTCTTGTCCTTTACGAAGAAGAATGTAAATACTTAATAAGAATAAGAGAGCAAATGATGAGTGGCTAACTCCACTCCGCTTTTTCTCACAGGAATCTAAATGTTATAATTAAAGTCAATGCAGTTCATAAAAATTGGAAAAAAAACCCATAATTTAATCATTAACCAATAAATAATAAATTTGATACATTACAATACTAATGTTAGTTCTCATGTTTCAAATCAACATTTTTACTTCTAGACACATATACATATACATATATTCATACGCCTGAATGCATTCAGAGGAAGAACGGTAGAATAATTATCTCACAGTATAGTAAATAAGGTAACTAGGACAATTTAAGCAAATTACCTCAGGGGAAACATCATTTAAGTAGGCAAGTAGAACTTCAGGTACATTATGTCGAATACCAAACCAACGAGCTTCATCATTTTTACACCATAACTGTAAACGGGGAAAGTAAAATTTGACAAAAATAAGCTTCAGCAAAGGAAACAGCAGCAAATAATAGAAGATACCGGAAGCCTGCAGGTGAATACTGCCGATAAGCCGCAAACTAGTACGAATTTTAAAAACCTACATATAAGCAGTAAATTGAATCTTGTGTACACATCTAACTTTATGAAATGCAACATAAAAAAATTATATCACATATGAGTAATTAGAAAACTAAGTGAACAAATCCAATTTAATCACAATGTGTGGATTAAGTAAAGACTGACTACTCACCTGGACAGTGTTATTATTACTACTTATCACTCAACAGTTGTCGTTCTTTACGTAGAATGCTTTGTTATATGCATGGAGAAACATGAATAGCAGAAACAAAACAAATTTATTCCAACCCTATATCCATCATAGATTTGATTTAGCATTTTCCGTAGTTATCTTCAATCTCTTCCTTTATGTGCATCATCAAAGCATCACTTTCCTTTCTTTTATCACGTTTACAACAATAACAACAAGTTACTCCTCTTAAACCAAAAGAAGCTATCTTCAAGACTATTAACGTTTTTGATTTCTATGTTCATTTCAAATGAATGTCACACCTACAGTATTATTTCAACTTAAATATCCCCTGTTATAACTACATCCGATTTAATTAATACTTGTTACTCTCCTGATCCTGTGTAATTATAGTGCATAAAAATTGCGATTGTTCAGCTTTACAGTACAGAAATCACCCAAATAATCGATAACTTCTCTGAACATCTTGTCCTGTTTACAAAAAGCTCACGGCAGAAAAGATGAGCAGAGGAAGACTTGAGGATAATAAGATAAACGATATCAGAATACATTTTACTAGTGAATAACGACAAATAACTGGTAAGTCAGCTGAGTACCGAGATGAACCAGTGTTGAGAGAAAACGGTAGTCGTTTACACACCTACCTTAGCCAACGCAAGAATCAGCCATAATCGCATGCGTATATGCATTTCTTGTTGATGCTTAGGTGTATTATCAAACAACTGAGTAAGTACAATTGGTAAAAAATTCTGTTTCAAGTACACATCTTGAAAAAACGCATCAGGCTGTTATGAAAATTAAAAAAATGCAATTGATAAAATGGCAACAAGCAAAAGATTCTATTAAAATAAACGTCATCATCTGAATAAAACGGTCGGATTATTAAAAAAGAAAGGTAATAATAACAAGGCAGCTTGTACCGATAACCTAAAGAAAACAACAACAACAACACAGATGACCAGTGTTGGTTATGAAAACGGAAGACGGCATTCAGATGCTGCTTATAACAATTCGCCTCACTAATGTATGGGTAATCAGCAGAAGGTGAAACTCCTTTACCACTGAATTATGATGTCAAATAAGTAAAAGATCTCATATTGAAATTCGTTTAACTGAATTCATTCCAATTAAATGAGTTTTGCATATCATAACTCAGCAAATCAGAAACTTTACTTTTGCTTCTGTGTGGACCCCTCTCATGGGAGGAAAAAATATTTCTGGTACTGAATTAATTATCTGTCAAATACAGTAGCTTAACAATGTGAGGTGTAAATCAAATATTATTCACAACTGGTTTAGTTCAAAGGCTGTATCATTCGTATTTTAGTAAACAAGCATATATATTTTTTTCGTAGACAATCTTTACTCAGTAATAATCATGTATTTTTTTTACTATCATTATTATTATAATCTGTCTTCACCATCTCTTTCCGATGTCTCCTTAGTATATTGCAGGAGTAGTATTCATGTGATGGGTCGTAAATTATTTGTTTATCGAGCGATTGTGATTACACGACAACGCTGCTAGGTTAATCCATCATCAAGTTCAACAAATGCTAAAACTAGATACACGCTAACAAATCCTGTTCGTTTGAGTTATAGTAAAACACAAAAAAATTGAAAATATATAGATAAAAAGTAAATTTCTCCAGTTAATAAAAATGCACTCACCTCTCCAGATTGGTCTTTTTCTAACATTTTAGCCAATGCAAAAGCTGTTATCGTTCGAGTAAGAGGCTATAAGCAAAAGGAATACAAAGAAAAGAGATGAAGCTATTTAGGCAGTAATAATCATGGTTGGAGATAAGGTATTCGATCAATTCACCTTATGCACAGTTATTAATTCAGTAATTACTGAAGACAATCAACCCAGAACTAGGACATGTCTAGAAAATTGAGACAACCCAGTTACTGACTTTACATGCACACCTGTCATCAAAATGATATGACAACATCAAACTTACACATTTAGCTATTAAACATACAGCAGCCAAAAGTACTCAGTTAACAGGTGTGCAAACGTCAAAATTAAGATTTTAATAAAATATTATTTTCATACCGATTCAAAGGTAATTATCTACAGAAAGTTAAAAGTTGCCTTATTCAAAAGACGATTGGTTTAAGCACTCGGCTGCCAGACACTTACTTGGAGAACCCAGCAGCCCTCACAAAACAAATGCGCCTCCTACTCCAATACATGAATATTTGCACTGGGTAATTGATATCCAAGGGATTGTAAGTGACTTGAAAACAAAATTGATGAAACATAGTGTACATCTCTATATGATGGTAACTAAGAGCTGCATAGAAAATACCCATACCTGCTTACCGGTCAAAGATTCCCAGTTATTTCTAGGGTACACTCGAATCAGACGATGATCCCACCCTTACTAATTCATAAGTGGAATTTCCAGATATTAATCACCGAATTACTCTTTGTTTTGCATACGGGCTTCTGAAGATTTGTACAATAATATCGCCTTCAATGTCATCTTAGAATGCAAATACATCCAACTGACGAATGTCACGAAAAAAGTGAAACTGTAGATATCACTTATTATTCAACTCCTTTGCATCCCTCTACTGTTTCAAACTTGGGCTTTGAAGTTTCATTAGCGGTAATATGTAGCTACAGTGAGGTGTTGTTAAGCCTTCCGCAAAACCATTCCTTATCGTAAGGCTCCCTATCGACTGAGTGAGGTTAAGTGGTGAGTCTGCTGCGAATCGGACCCCGAATCATTTGGGTGGTTGGTGGACATTCAAAAGACTAAACCACCGACAATTGTAGGCATCAGTATTCAATGGCTATTGTTTATTTTTCCCTAAGTTGAACTCTAATAAACTGCATCACACAAACACACATACAGATAAAAGTCTAAATAAGTAGGACTCAGGCATCATCTTTTTAAAATAATAATATTAGTATTACCACCTTAACTACAGAATAAGCACAAAAACAAATAATCAAAACCCCTGGAGCTACAAAATTTATTATTATTATTTTTATTATTGCTCCCTTGGGTTCCTAGTGGAACATAGGGCTTCAACTGCACGTCTCCATTTTCTTCTGTCTTCTGCCATACTTTTCGCCTGCATCCATGTTAATCCATCTTCTTTCAACTCCTCTTCACACGATCTCCTCCATGTCACCCTTGGACGTCCCACTCGCCGCCTCCCTTTCGAGTACCACTCGAGCAATGGCCTGATGCGCGCGTGATGTCACCAAGTGGCCTCCTCAGCGAGTGTCCGATCCATCTCCACTTTCTACTGCATATTTGTTGGGCGATCGGTTCTTGTTTTGTTTGTTCCCATAGTTTCTTGTTGGTGATTCTTTCCGGCCGGCCATCTGATCTTCACTATAGAGCCAGCGAAGGCAGTTGTTGATAAAGGTTTGAGTTAGCGTGTTGGAAATATTCTTTGTGACCCGCCCGCCAAGTTTCTGATCCGTATAGAAGAACTAACTGACTTGACGTTTGTATGGAAAATCCGACCGAATTTTGTTTTTGATGCTGAGTGACGAAGATTTCCAGATTGGTATCAGGTTGATGAATGTGTACCTCGCCTTCCCGATTCTCGATTTGACATCCTCGTCCGTTCCTCAGGTATTTGAGACAATGCCCCCTAGATAAGTGAATGAAGTAACCTCTTTCAAATCCCTTCCGTTGATGGTGATTGGCGCTGGATGTTGCTGCTTTTGTTTTTGGTTGGTTATTTTCATAACCTCCGTCTTGTCTATGTTCACTTGGAGTCCTGTCTTCTCCGACTGCTTCTTCGACCAGTTTGTCGGTTTTCGCTTGTAAGTCTTCGATTGTGTGTGACATCAAACATAAATCATCCACGCGCGAAATACAGGTCTTCTAGGTTTTTCACGTCGGTCCAGGATATCCCTGTCTTCTCGTTTCCCACTGTCTGACGCATAATCCAGTCAGTCCACCACAATTAGGAATATCATTGGTGATAGTTTATAAGCACCCTTGTCTGACTCCTGTGTTTATTCCAAGCGCCTCGCTGAGTTTTCCATTGTGGATGACTTGACATGTGCCGTTGTCGTACAGCTGTTGAATAAGGTTGATGAATATTTGGAGTATGCCGTAGTACTCGAGTAGTTTCCAAATTACTTCGCGGTCAACGCTGTTGAAGGCCTTCTCAAAGTATAAAAAGTTGAGGTAGAGGCTTGATCGCCATTCCATGCTTTGTTCGATGATGATGCGTAGAGTCGCAATTTGGTCAGAACATGATTTGCCTTTCCTGAATCCAGCTTGTTCTGATCGGAGTTCTGTCTCCAGTGCGTCCTTTAATCTCTCCAGGATGATGCGACTCAGGATTTTACTTGGCGTCGATAGGAGCATGATTCCTCGCCAGTTCTTGCAGAGTCCTAAGTCGCCCTTCTTTGGTAGTTTCACAAGGTAACCTTTCCTCCAGTCAGTAGGCTACAAAATTAGGTGGATCATAAAATTCTAGCTAAGAAACTATTAACATAAGAATGGGAAACCTTTTCAGATAAGTGTGAGCAAAAAGGTTGATTAATTTTAGGTGTATTATGAAAACTTATTTACTGAATCACCTACTACTGCACCGTTTAGGAGAGGGGATTAAACAGTACTGGGTAGATGTATGCAAACTACAATGATGGATTCAAATTAATGTAACAGATCGTTAAAAATTCAACATAACAGAGTCTGTACGACACACACCAGTGGAATTTATTTAAACCCTTGAGTCTTTATTCAATACTCACTACAGCCAGAGCCGACCTAATCAATTTATATATATATATATATATATGTTTTGCCCTCCCAATAATTTAGAAAGTGAGGAGAAACACGTGTGATAATTAGAGAACAATGTGTCATAGTAATTAAATAACAGAAAGGCAACTTGATTTCATGATAAATTGTTAAGCCAAGATTAAAATGAGCAATCAATGAACAGAAAAATAAAGACAGCCAATTACGGTCATTTAATTTGCGTCAGTGGTTCCATGATGGAATGCTCGCCAACCCCGGATGTTTTTGATTCCTACCCAATGTAACCCTGAACCTCGCTTACCTGGAGGCCCTGTAAATAAGGAAAGTTGGGTGGTAGGCTATGAACCCCATCGAATAGAAGATAACATCATTGTTAATGAGACCTGATGGCTCCAACCTGAAGCCTTATGTTTCATTTGCAACGTGGAAGAATGGAAAATACCCAGTGTCATTGAGGCAGAAAATTATTCTGATTGTACTCGCACGCAAAGTGAAGCAAGTGGCATAGAAAAGTAACCGGACCAAAGACGTCTGAACATACATATTATGTTGAAAATTTACCACAGTAACTGCTTCTGCCAAAACAACAAAAGAGGCGTAGGCCTGCTACGAATTTGTGGGTATCAAAGTCAATTTTATTCAGGCTTTTTTGAGAATCCAATGGAAAGTTCCACCGTATTACTTGGTAACAGTTCTCTTCCTTTTCCTCTCGTCTATGTTTACATATTTCACATTCACTCTCTTAATTATCGGGATATTCGCGAAGTGTCAAGATTTCTCTTACGCGTCCAACTTTCAATTGCGAAATTACTCTTAAAATGCACAGCAATTTATTAACTTCAATTGAACAATACACTAAGCTGACGTGTACCAAAATACAGTGGGATTACTGAATGACTGGATGCAACATAGAACTTTGCCCAGAAGTGTAGTAGTTCGGTATAGCACATAAGGGAAGAAAAAAGTCTCCAGATATCGATCTTCAGCATCCCGAGGACGCCAAAAACGAAGTTTATACATCCCGACTTGGCTATCTTAAACTAACTGTTGTGGATTTCATTGACTGATGAAGCCATGTTTTGGTTTGACTCCACCAATAGCTCTTTTCCAACCTGATCCATCCTATGTCAGTCAGCCAACATTTCCTGTCGGTCGAGGAAGGTAGTGGTTAGGGATGCATTCGTAACACATATGCTAACCACCTCAACCAGTGTAGCTTCACAACCTTGTGGATTGATTTCCCCTCCTCACCTGGCACTCGACCGAAGCCTCACCTCAATATTGCTCACTATGTTATACCACCATCTAACACGGGAGATCGGACGCAGATCGAACACCTATGTTCAAAGACAGTTAGCCTTTTCTTATCTTCCATTGGAAATCAACAGACATGTCTCACAGTCATAAAGAAGGATGGAACGTAATGGTGAACAGTACACACGGTCTTTGGTCGACGGCCATCCGGATATCGCGTCTACACCAGAGACAGCGTAAACTGGCATATGCGAAACGCGCCTTCTGTATCCGTGCTGAGACTTCATCAGCGATCAACTCGCTGGCGTTGGCTGATGAAACTTCCCAAATAAGTGAGGTGGTCAACACGCTCCACTAACCACTTCACTCTCTATTTTTAGGCTGGGAATCAATTTAGTCCAGTCCAGTCCTGTAGCATCATCTTACATTTCGCGGGAGCAAATCGCATGACAAACATTCAACGATTGCAGCTCAAGGTGTTCCGAAGACTGCATTTTGTCAGCGTCTTTACCTTTAAAGACTACATCATGTGCATATTCTAAATTGACGAGATTATCCCCTGGTAACATGTCGATCCGTGAGTCGCTGAAGTCAGCAGTTAGGGTTAAATTCCATTAGTACATCTATGATGAAATGTAAGAGAAATGGGTATAGTGGGCATCCCTGACGGACACCACTAGTTGTCACCACTTCAGATGACAACTCCCCATAGGCTCTCACCTGGCTGCATGAGTTCGAGTAGAGTGCTTTGGTTAGTGTGATGTATTTTCTCGGTATTCCCTGACAGCCAAACATCGCCATAATACCTCTCAGTCGACGGAATCGATTTTCGTTTTCAGATCACGAAATATGACGATTGTTGGACGCCGGTAAGCATGCCAGTGTTTCAGAATCTGTCGAAGGGTGAAGATATGGTCAATACACTCTCTTCTTGATCTAAAGCCTTCCTGGTTCTCTTGTGTTTGTTCCTCGCAAACACCACTTAGTCTACGCATTATTATTCAGCCTAGAACTTTAGATACCATATTGGTAAAGCTAATCCCCGTGTGATTATCACAGGAAGACTTGTCTCCTTTCTTGTATATTAGGATAATCAATGAATTATACCAGCCCCATGGGACTACCTCTGATTCCTAGATGCTGCCAAATGCCATAGTTAACGTCGACAGTAAACTGTCTCCACCGTACTTAGACACCTCTGGAGCCATTGTATCACGGCCCACTGTTTTGCCACGTTTCAAATCAGTGACAGCTTTTGTAACCTCAGTTAGGGACGGATGACCTGTGTCTATATCCCACTCAGGGAGGTGTTGGGTGCTGGGTAAGTTGAGCGTGGCTGTAGGCCAATTAAATTACTCCTTAAAGTGTACTTTGCAACGTTCCAGTTGTCTAACCTGAGAGGTAATTCTCGGAGATCGTCTCACTTATCATATACCTTTTGCCACCTGTTTCCCTGATACGCCTAAGCAGTTTGTCTGGTGTTACCGCACGCCAATGCCTTTTCCATCTCCTTCGCTTTTTTCGCCTACTGCTGTTCAGGATTGTTGCGAAGACTTTTGGTCAGTGTGTTTGAGCAGCTTTCGCTACCCACCATGTAAGGAGCCCGCTAGGAATTAGCTTTCTATCAGTTAGGATTGAGATGCAGAGATCCACTGGCTCTTAATAACCGCTGATTTTAGGTTAACAACAGCCTTTACAGCTGTATGCACAGCCGACTGTATATTGTGCCAGGCTTCCTCAGGATGAGTCTTGCTGTTAACTTCAGATATGCGGTTAGATGCTTCCTCCTTATTTAGAGAATCAGTGTCTTGATTTAGTTGGGGCGTAACGGTTTTATTGCTGAGTGATTTTTATGTCCGTATTGTAGTAGGCATATACGTTTACAGGCATGGTAGTGGCCAGAGTCTACGCATGTGTTCCAGAAAGTGTCAATATTCTATCAGCCCTCGCGTGTGATATATTTGAATTCATAGTTGATTTGATATGGAAAGTCACCGGTTGAGGCTACGTCTCTCTTTGTGCCTAAAGTTAATGCTGACTAGGAAGAAATGATTATCTGAACAGAACTAAAGAAGACGATCACCGTTGTCGGGAACTCCGTAGGTTTCACCAACATACTCCTGTAACCGACATACGTTCACTACTTGGGCACTGAATTCGCCTGCTAAAACGACTAGGTCTGAGCGTTTTGCTTTTTGCAGCAAACTAGACAGTTTTTGGTAGAAATCATCCTTTGACTCAACTGAACTGCATTCAGGAGGAGACTATAAAAAGATACTGAAGGATAAGGCAGTCCATCCTTTTAATAGACTCGTTCAGACCGACCGCACACATGCGATCATTCACTGGGATCCAGTCGAGTAGGGGATTTTCTACCCCAATGCTTAATTCTATCCCTAACTCCTCGGGAACTAGCTGAAGAATCCACTGACGTCCGTAAGATGGATTTCGCAGATTTAGACAGTTGGCCAGGTGGGGTTATGTGAATAACTGCACTCGGGTCCAGTTTATGTGTCTGCGGAAAACAGCATACATCCATAGGTCGAGAGGCCACAGGTCTGACTAGTGATGCCTGTTGTTTGATCTGGTGAAGCGTCCTGAGGTTAAATATCCCAACATGAAGTTCGCATTGTGACTTTAAGAAACTATCGGGGATGCTTTTCGACCTCTCGTGGCTATTCTTGGTCACACAATGAAAAAACGACGGGAGAATAGCCTGAATAAAAGTACTAACCGTAGGAGGAAAGCAAGATGATGACATAAATGAAGATAGGTGATGATCGGGAGAACTTCGTGTTCTTTTGGAAGCAGATGGGCGGTTGTTACTTCCCAGCAGCTGACAACGTGGAAGTGTCAGTTTTCTGCAAACAGCAGTGTTTAACTACCAACCTCGTTTAGTTTTCATAATAGTTAACTTTGGAACCTTTCCTTCGTGACTGTCTAACTCACAAGCACTAAAAATTCCATCAATCATTAAATTAATCACATTTTGATTTGCAGGGATTTGATTGGCTTCAAGTTTGATAACAGAATGACATCATTAGATAACCACTGGGAACCCAGAAGGGCTGGACAGCTGCTTCGTCCTAGTATGAGATTCTTAATCTGTGAGCAACCATGACACCGTTGAGAGTCAGACCCAGGACCTACAGATTACAAGGCGAACCTGTTAACCATTCAACCATCCTCGAATTGAGGAATCTCCCTGATTCCAGCAAAAAATGAATTGATTTTTTCCGTGCTTTGAATTCTCAGTGTCATTGTGGTTGTTTTTTTACGAGGATGGGGTCGCTAGCCACATGCTGAACTTTCCCCCATTTTCCAAGCTTAGAACCGGCTGGTAAAAACAAAAGAGTACATATTTTCACATCGGAAAATGAAAACCTTTTAAAAATTCGAATCCACCTAACTTTACTGTTCATATAATAAGAACAGCATCATAAGAAAAACTACGGAAGATAAATTAGTACAGTTGATTAGTACTAAATATGGATCCGAATTTGTCAATCAAATATACAGCAGTGTAGTCAGAAAGCGAAGTAAGACTAAAACACTATGTTTTTACTGCACTTTCCTTCATCTTGTGTTAAATCTTTTTGCAATTTATGTTATGTAGAGACTTGAACCTACATTTCCTACTTGCTGGCAAGTGGTATTCATCTGAAGATGAAATATGAATTCAATTCCCCTAGTGTGACTGATTTTAGGCTAACATCACCTAAATTCTGTAACCCTCAGATATGCTTTACAAGTGAATATCAATCAAGACACATTCGCAAGCAACTCACACAAAACATCTGTCTATGTACATAACTGATACATCTTCGTGAATATCAAACCAAATCCAACTCGCATTTACACATTAACGCTAAGGTAGACTGTGGGACTGGGTGTAATGAGATCCGTGTAATACATGTTTAACAACCTGAAATCTATAGGATGAACCACGATAGTGAGGCCATTTTATATCGGTTATTTCATTCACCTGAAACGATACCATTTGCACTTAACCGAAGTGGTTAACAGACTTAAAGAGTTAAATTTCATCAATTCATAAAATGATTGAAAATAAAAATCCAGAGAGTTTAAAATTACAACCATATTTTGGTGAAAGTTTTTTTTATGTGAGTGACAGCTTCTTCAACAAAATTACACGGATTTCATTAAGCGTCAAAATGTATATCGCCAAACAGCACATAAAGTTGACAAGAATGACGGTCCCTTGTGCTGTGATCATAAGTGTAATTGATCATCATATATTTTTATTCAAAGAGTTGTTAAAACAGATTACACTTGAAAGGAAAAGAATATATTTTAAACACTTTGGAATCGCCACTCAGACTCTGGAAAATCGTGAAATCTCCTGAAGTCTCCATGCAATATTTCTGCTCGTTCATGGCATTTATTTGACCTTCTACAATGTTTTTCCCACAACTTCCATTTGAAAGTGTCACAACGTAAGGTGGTGAATTAAAGTAAACGTAGGATTTCATCATTAGATGAAATCGGTTAGAGAACCATTGGAAAACCTGGGCGTATTGGACAGGTGTTTCGTCCGCCTAGGTTGTGACTCTTCATCAGTACGAACACCCTCGAGGCTTCGAAACTAGGAAAAGGCGAGCTTGCAGACCACTACACCACCGGGACCCGATCCAATGGACAACTTATGCCAAATCACGACACAGCGCGACCATTATATATATATATATATATATATATATATATATATATGAGAAAACATTACAACTGCGAGTACTCAAGCACGCAAAGTAATTGGGAATAGAAGTCTAGTGTTTATTTCCAGTGAGCTTAGGACGAACTTCAGCATATCAATGAATACAATATGGCTGCAGTACGCGCGAACCCATAAAACGAAGGATAATCTTCTCTTACCCATGGACAAAATTTTGAGTAAACGTATTTTTCACTCTATACATAATAGTCTCTAAGACGATTCTATTCCATAATTTAAGGAAGAAAAAAGTGTGTAGTCAGAGAAATTTTACCCAACAAACAGAAACAAAATTTTAAAACTTACAGAAAGATTCTCAGTATCACTAAGACAAGCAATAAAGTATTTATAGCCGAAATCACGAACAGAATCGTTGCGACCGAATTCCGTCTAGAGAAAACAGAGGATATATATATATATATAACAGATTGAAACATAAAGGCATGAAAGTGTATTTATCAGAAGAAACCATCATCTGTACCATGCATTTGCCTCTAAAAGCTGCTCAGTGTGGTTTGAAAAGTAAAGAAAACACACCTTGTGAACTCCACTCATTCAGCTTTATTAATGTAATCCATCTAAATCCAATACGAGTTATGATGAAGTCTTTCCAAGGAAGTAAGACCGAGATATGAGAGTATAGCTGAAGCTCTAGTGACTAGAATGTTCAAGATAATGCCATATATCTGGGAAAAATAAGTTCAAACTGTTTTGCGATCAGTTTCCTATCTGGATTAAAATTAATATCATTTGTCATATTTATTCTCCAAATCATCACTCTATTTTAACTCTAATTGCTATTTGTCTTACTTAATACCATTTTGATATTCAGTGTATTTTGGTCTCAGAGGGGCAGTTATTTTGGAGCCTTCTGAAATTATTTGATTACAAAAATTACCCAAAACAAATTCTTTATGAACCGGGTTACATGAGACACACAATTATTGTTCAAGAGCTGATTATACTAACTAGTTGTTCGGGCTGAATTAGATGGATAGGAAGCGATTTGGGTTCGGAGATAGAATGTCTGAGCCACAGAACCACATCTGTCTTGCTTTATTACTCTCTCTCTCTCTCTCTCTCTCTATATATATATATATATATATATATATATATATATATATCAATGATAACTTTGTAGCATGATGGCATTTGCTGCTAATGACTGAGTGAAGTCGTTTGAAGGCAGTCAAATCAAACCGTAGATGGAGAGAAAACTAACGCTCATGATAAAAAGAACCGTCTAACTATACTACTTAACAATACTATCTAAATTAAAAACACAACTATGGTCAATACTGCTAACAGGTCTCAAAAAGTGAACCTATGGGTTGCTACAACAACTGTTTCGCAATTCTTGACAATGACGAAGAAAATGGCAGCTAATGTTAATGTGGTTATTGGTGACTTGTTAAAATTTATAACTGAAGGTCAAAAAGAAAAAAATAAGTCAAACAATTAGCACAATTACGATGCAAAAATAAGGTGATTATTTTTATCAACGTAAATATGTAGTTAGATAATTAAGACTTTGAGAAACAAAGAAATCAAACCTTGAAAACAGCATATGACAAAATCAATCACGTGTCAGTATACTATCGTCGTATGCACACATGCGTACACACATTCACGCATGCGCTTGGATTAGCTTACTCTGGTGATAATAAATTGGTTAGTAAGCACAAAAAATGTGTACTAATTAAAATATGTATACTATAATACAGATATCAAAGAAATATCATATTTGTTTTGTTTTGTTTTTGTCACATTGTACTACACAAACACGGATCCATTAAATCAAATGGATCTACACATCAAAATGTACAAAAACAAAGAAGTATCCGTTCATTGTACACAGTCATTCCGAATTCCATGTTACAATGATGTGGATTGATTGGCTGGAATTGAATGATAACATCCACAACCAGAACTAAGCACATGACATTGATTACGCCACCATAACAAATTAATGTACCCTATAACAGCCCTACAAGGAAGTCAGTTGTTAGTCGGAATAACTCAGTGATAACATATGTGGCTGAAGCACTAGGTAGCATAGAATATCATCTCTAGGTCACATTGCTCAAGACTGCAAATAAACACGAAGTCTGTGTCATAGACTTCATCAGAGATTTTATGTCAGTAAGTATTTACTGAATAAACACACTTTCGGTCTTAAGAAAATTCATGTTCCTTTCAACATTCAAATCGAAATCACAAAGCTCTTAAATTATAAGCTGTGGTTAGGAACCAATAATTTCTCCACATTTTCCTTGTCTTCAACAGTGGTTGTTTCACAATTGAGAAAAAAATGTTATTCAAACAACAACCACTTGCAATTATATGTAGTTGGTAATGAGCCACGCCTAAAGTGTGAGGAATAGAGATACTACCTGGCTGACCAAACCTCAACAGGTGGAGTGCGGATTAGAACTGGTTGAAAGTTTGGCACATAGACCAACAAGCCATCATTAAAGATCGAAATATTCTAGGTCAAATATTGTGCAAGCCAAAATGATATTGTGTATAGGTATTTCCGTAGGCGAAATATCGCACTCACTGCTAAACCAACCTACATTTCATCAGTGCTGTTTGACAGTAAATATATATATATTAGGTTATTTTAATTAAAATTCTAGTATATTCCCCTGCTGAAGAGGCGGCTTACGTAGAGAAATGTTCAGGAAAACCTTGTTGTAAGCCAACAACATATCGTGTCATTACCTACACCTTCGTCATAATTAATAACCACTCTTGACCACATTAACTGCAGTAAGTGTATAAGAAGTCATGGAACCTCTGACTTATACGGAACAGATTTGATACATGCCAGAACATGACGTTATATATGGCCTGATAATACTGCTAGGATGACTAGGATAAAGTAGACAGAGAGGGAGTCGAAAATGGGACTCATTGACAAGAAGTTCAGTGGTTAGGCAAATGAATCACCTCTCCATTAAGATATTAAAATGAATCAAATCTGTTTTACCTCATATCAACAAGGAGTATTTTAACTTCCGAAGAACTGTTATGCAGTCAAGAATTTTAATCCGCGTCCCCCAGAGCTGTAATTACAGAAGTTATCACTCAGCTATTCACGAAATGCATTATAATATAACATAAGCATTTGAACGTTTAATATTAACACTCAATATTAATTATGACTCACCTGTGCACTGGCAATGATTTTACCCCAGATGAAAACTAAGTGTGGTTTCACCTCAGGCACTGGTGAATGAAATAACCGAACTATGTATGGAAATATGCCGACAGTTAAGCAATGAGCCACAGCCCACGGTCCTAAGTCAAGGAACTCACTCAACAACTGCATTGCACGAATTCGATGACTTTGACTCAATAAAATCTAGAAAGTTGTTAATGAATGAGGAAAAATGTATAGAACTGAAGCAGACAACACTGATAAGGACTTTCATTTAATTTAAAAAAGATTTCGTTGCCAAATAAAGGCTTTAAAATTAATCCAACTAAGATGGATTTTCACAGAAATTACATAGGAGTTTGTAACCATGTTAAATTGAAGATTGAAAGAAAACATTAGAAATGATAAGACACTGGATACTTGCCCATGGGTCTAAGGACAACGCTATCTTTTAATAGGCTGATTATTCTTCACTGAATTTCGTGTCGATTTGTGTTCCTGAAGAATCACAATTTGTGACCAAAAGGGCTACACTTTGCTTTTTAAGACTTAGCACTTCAAGCCAGGGTAAAAGGTCTGGTTAACCAGTCACGTAGACAAGGCGTCAAAATATGTCCACCCATCTTAACACATACTATTTTTAAACAGATTTTCGATTAGTGAACCACCTTAAAACACTTGATGGGTTATTGAAATCGCTGAGATTTTCGTAGTACTTTTGATCGTAATTGCGCTTTTACTGGTAGTTTAGTAGGTATTGTTCACTTGCAACAACTGCATAGAACACTGGTCAAGTTATTGATTTGTCCACCAACATCTGACTAAAGAAACGTACAATACTTGTAAAGAAATTAAATTAAGAAGGACAGTTTGTCGATCTAATCAACAAACAAGATGTACAGATCATGACCACGACAGATTCCTTTACAATCCTTTGACCCAAATTTAGCACAGCAAGTTATTTAACCAATTAGTTTTAAAATACCTCAAAAAGCATTTTAGTAACACGATAGGTTGCGATATTTCTGGGCTATCAACGATATACGTGTTGAGATGAAGCGTAACTGGATCATCACTTAAATATGCCTCAATATGTTTCCATCTATTCAAAGCCGCCACTTTGGGAACATTGGAAGTTTATTATAGATAATACTTCATTTTGATAAATCACAGTGTTATACAGTAATATTAACTGATGATGTTTCGAGCACAAACTACTGCTCATAATCAATAGTTTGAGCTCCAAGCGTCGTCAGTTAATATTACTATATATCACTGTGTAATTTATCAAAATAAAATCTTATCTATAATGGAGGTATATTCGACCACAGTGACCAAGTTTTATACTTACATCAATAGCATTGGAAGTTGTTTCTGTTTTTTCCTGAAATTGGATATCCATCTACAACTGGACAGGTCTGAATCACTACTAACACGATTACGCATGCAAAAGTCTTCATAATGCCCATGTTCTTAGCATCGTCTACATTTGTATTTCTTGTGTGGGGAAAAACAACCGTAACACCAAACTCCACAGAATCCACAAGTAGTTGGAGGCTTCACGACTAATGGAGGAATTGAAGATCTTAAAGAATTTGGTCTAGATTTTACTGAATAAGAAGAATCACCTGCAGGAAGGTTATTTTCAATCGTTATGCATCATGCTTCAAGTTTATCAGCTTCTGACACCCAACTGTAAACTCTTGCAGCATCATTGTAGGATTCTGTTCAATACAATATAGAATGTGTTCTGATTTTCGAGTCAGCTGGAGTAGGTAAACCAAAGGTGACGACTGGACATTTGGATAGATCCTAGGTAAGTGAACCCAATTGTAAATTGTCATACGCACAGATTACTTTACCAGCAAAAGTAAGACAGTCATCACAGCGCTCCTTGGATAAATTAAAACTTTTTCAACGGATATTGAACAATGATGTATTTTTTCCAAATATTTTATGGCAAATTCCGACTGTTTCATTAGAATTTGTATGATGAGTACATTTTTGGCAAAATGAAATTCTCATACTTGGCATGTTTCGTAGATCCAAGTTTGCGGAGGATAATGTTAACTTTCACTCCACTTCCATTTTTAGTAAATTTTCAAGTATATCAAGCATGAGCAAATGTTTACTGAAGACATCTACTAAATGACCCTGCCCATTTTAATAGCACTGTACCATTAACATTATAAAACTATTGTCTTCACAAACAAAATGTGTACGTGAAAGTAGTATTAATCAACTGAAATTATGTCTAAATATCTGACTCTCAGTAAACCGATTAGATAAACAACCTATTGTAGCAAAAATTACGAAACTTTAAAATACAATTTAATTAATCCTACTAACCTGTAACAAAATTGGAAGTTGAGTAGCTGGTGGACGTCTCTCATCAGCTGTCTGTAACCATATTTTAAACGCAGTCATTTGACTGGTGAAAAATGAATCTGGTCCACTGCCACCTATCACAGAGCCGGAGCTAACAGTAGTTGAAGCTAGCTGATTCGATTGCTCAGTAGTCTGCAACAATGGATTAGAGATAACTTGCTGACTTGAAGGTATCATATTTGAAGTATAGTTAGATGGAAATCTACTCATATTGGGGACATTTTCATGATGAACATGATTATTTGTTAATAATGGTAGGTTACTGGCATCATTCGGTAATCGTATACATATTCTTTGGTCTAAATATTGCGTTGTTGAATTGGTTTGAAAAGGTGCCCCTGTTATTGTGATTGTTGGCTGGGGTGGTAGCAAATGGTTAGCCCCTAGTTTCGTACCAACACGATGACGATAATGTCCAGGAGGATTACTAGCGTCACTGCCACTGGGTAGCAAATATAACTTTTCATAACCATGCGGATAATGAGGCAAAGTTTGTTTATGAGGTCTCACAGGTGACCTAGTCCGCACATCCATAGATTTATTATGCTGAGTAACCTGAAATTTTAATGCGAGAAGAATGCGAACAGTAAAATAATTAGTATTCGGTTACTGTGATAATAAACCATTACTACTAAAAATCCTGTTCTTAAGTGATCCTGCTTATGAGTGCAGAAATTACTTCCTAATTCAATTACAAGACAGTACAGATACTCAAATTAATTATAATTATATTCCAATCGTATGCCTACAACGATTATATATATATATAATTTAGGGGATATCAGTCCGTGGTAATTAGTCGAAGGAATAATGAATCTTTGAAAAATTTGAACTTATGAACAGCTGGAGAACAGAAAATATTGCAGTCTTTCATTTATATTTTTAGGTGCCTTTTACTTGACTGACTGACTGATGTTGACATAGATAATTGCACCTATGTGCAGTAGTTCGAGTTGCCACACTTCATGTAGTACACAAAGGAAAGGAAGAATGTAAAAGTAGAGACAGTAAACAGAGATATGAGACAAAAAGAATAGTAATAACGAAGAACAATGTAGTTTCATTGGCTATTATAAGTCACAAAGAGTGGATGCCTTTTACCACTAAATACCTTCAAGCTATTTTCAAACTCACCCACACACACACACGTTTAAAATGAAAGCTGATTATTTTAATATCAAATATTCGTTGTCAAGAGTTAGCTTGTAAAAACTAGATTTGTTTTTCAAAGTTTGACCACGGACTGATATCAGTTAGAGAACGAGTGAAAACCGGAAGGTACTGGGTTCGAACTCTCGTGGTGGATGCGTGCTGCCGATGATTCCCAAACTACGATGAAACAGCTGTCTAGTACTTCCTGGTTTCCAATGGTTCTCTAACTGATATCAATCCGTGGTCAAACTCAAAAAACAAATATTCATAGGCTTAAACAATCATTTTCCAGTGAATGAATCCCATCTTCGAGTCCCGCTCCACCAACTTCAGCTCTCATACAGTTTCATGAATGATTAATTAGTGCTTACTTCTCACATTTTGCTTCAAATAACTAGTAGTAACTGATGATTCACTATCCCTACGTGGAACCTTGCAATGAGAAATATCTCGATAACCAGACAAGCAGATCAAACCTATGTCAAACAACAATTAGTGATAGTAACAAATTATTCAAATGTAGACAAATTGAACAGCATCAGTGAGTTCAATGTTTGGTGAGTGAAAAGATCTGAAAACACACTTAGTGCGACTGCAATTCAGGCATCAGTATATTGGTTCATCGTGATCAACTATCTACGGTTATATATAAATATAATATGACCACAGTCCATTAGATAAAAAAAATCAAAGGTAATCATCCCAGACGTATGAAAAAAAAAGAATGATAATGCAGTAGATTGAATATGTAACATACACTAGTATAAATTGAAAAAAGACATTTTTTTCAACAAAAACAAATCGAACAGAACAGAACATGTACCGACACAAGAGAGACTCACCTGTTTCTGTATTAATACTGGTGGTTCCTCCTGCTTATTCATTGGAATTACATTATTATCCGAAGTATCATGTTTCAATGAAGCGTGTAAATCAGCGTTTTGCATATTCACTTGCTGACCTTGTTGTTGTTGGGACTGAGGATGATTTAACTTATTTTGAGAATTCGTTGTATCCCCGCATAAATTATTAGTTCCAGCTACTATTTTTTTCAATGACGTCAAGTTTATAGCATTACCATTAGTATCACTATTTACCTTCGGTATAGGAGACTGAGACGGTCGTAGAAAGGGTTGTTGAACAGATGTTTGACGTCTATGAGATACATGGTCTAAGTCAATTTTCTCTAATTGTTTATGTTGCCGTGTAATCTGATAATGATGATAATAGTAATGTCCTTTCATTGGACGGGAAAATAAATATGGACAAGAAAGACTACGTGAAAGTTGCTTTTTCGTTTGATTACCCACATTGTTAGCGCAGTTAGTAGTAACCAAAAGAAAATGATTAACAACATCCACAATGTGTTTATTATTATTTGTCTTTTTCGACTCATTCTTGTTATCATTCGGATTTATCACACAAGCAAATGGTTTTCCAAAGTGCGTCATTGTAGTAGTATTTCTATTAGCAGCAGTTGTTGTTGTTAGTGTTGTGATGGTCGATTCCGTATTTGTAGATGTACACGTTATTATTGTAAATGCAGTAGAAGCAGTTGTGTTTGGCGCATTTAAAGTAACCGGATTGGATTTCACTTCATCATCCTCGTCTTCATCATCATCATCGTCGTCATCATCTTCGTCATCATCATCCTCGTCAACATCCACGTCATCATCATCGTCATCATCATCGCTATCCTCAGTATCCCCACCGTCATCATTGTTATCACCATCACATCCTTTACCAACGTCAACGTCTGTGTTCACATTTTCACTGCATTTTGAAGTGAAATTCTTCACTTCATTCACTTGAGGATTGGTTAAAACATCTTTTGTAATAGACTGTCGGGAAAAAGAAATATAAGTAACGAATATAGAAAAACTAGACAAAAATCAAAAAAACTTTTTCTTAGTACTGGAAAATAATGACCGGTGCAGAAAACTCCATAAACAAACCCTATTATTATTGTTCCCTTGGGTTCCTAGTGGAACATAGGGCTTCAACTGCACATCTCCACTTGCTTTCGTCTTCTGCTGTACTTTTCACCTGCATCCATGTTAGTCCATAATGTTTCAACACCTCTTCACACGATCTCCTCCATGTCACCCTTGGACGTCCCACTCGCCGCTTCCCTTTCAGGTTCCACTCGACGGCTTGGCATGCGATGTCACACAGCGGTCTCCTCAGCGAGTGTCCGATCCATCTCCACTTTCTACTGCATATTTGTTGGGCGATCGGTTCTTGTTTTGTTTGTTCCCATAGTTTCTTGTTGGTGATTCTTTCCGGCCCGGCTATCTGATCTTCAGTGTAGAGCGAAGACAGTTGTTGATAAAGGTCTGAGTTAGCCTGTGGGGAATATTCTTTGTGACCCGCCAAGAAACAAACCCTATCAATATATATATATATATATATATATATATATAGTGGATACTTGTTTAGAATTAGTACACTGACAACAGATCAGATATTCCAGTAAACCTTATTGAAAATCTTCTAAAGTATCACCGAAAACTGTGAAGTAATAGGAATAAGTCATTATATGAACAACGAAGACGACAGGTGAATGGTATCCAATGAAACAAACGGCGAAACTATTGCCTCTCTACAATATATATATATATATATATATATATATATATATATATATATATATATATATATATAGGTTATTTTGGTGGTGATGAAAAATGAATCACAAACGAGATATCATTATGACTATGTTGCCAAACGATAGAAGTCGTTAATTTCTCACATTTATATGACCCCCAAACAACCCAAACCAATAGCCATACTCTTCATAAATTGATGTCTTCAGCTGACTATGATTTTACACGTAATCTCAATTCATTCAAAACTGTTCATTTGAGAAGAGACTCATTTCGTTAGTTACCTCGGTCCGTTAGCATTTACAATCACTTCAACTGATATAGTATTATGCATTCTCTAGAGAGGTTACGCTGCGATTTGCTAATGAAGACATCTATGACTCAAAACCCTCATTTTTGACATCAAAATAGACTCTCAAGAGAAATAATCTCCAGGATATTTTTTAAAGACCAGTCAGAATCTACACACATCAGTTCTTACAGACAAAAGTAGAATATCCAGGGTCATCTTTTATTGATCTTGAATCCCTGAGATAGAAATTTATAATTATTAATGAAAACTCCAATAAATACCTGTTTATCTACAATCTGCTCAAATAGTTGATCCGCCTGTTTTTCCTTCGAGTTGTTCGTGAATGGTACATGCTGCCGTTGGTCATCATCAGTTATATTTGTTGTTGTAATAGGATCACTTTTCTTGCTCTTAGATAATTCACGTGTTGGCAAAACTTGTTTTTGCTCTAAACTATGTGATTCAACCATCATGTTAGTCGAGTCAGCTTTACTATCATGATTATCAATGTTGTTAGCAGTAGTGTGATAACGCTGATCTGATCCAATTAAAGTTAAAACAGATTTCTTTGAGGCTAAATTTATTGTTTCCATCTCCAGTTTAGACGATAAAGACGACTGTTTCTGTTTCGGCTGGTTCTGATTATTAAATCCTGGAGGGGGAGCCACTGAGCTTCGAACTGGTTTACACGTCCTTGATTTAGATGCCAACGCGGAGACTTGACCAGACATTCTCTGGTGTTGACCTCGATGGTAGTCCTTCGAGAGAAAAAACACAATGAAGAAAATAACATTGAAATAAGTTAAACATGTGAATGGAAAACACTTGTCCATCATGAATTCCTACTAAGGAATATCAGTAATTAGTGCAGTGTGCAGTTAAAAATTTACTGGACAACCTTATGCTAGATAACAAAATTTAACATAACGGAACATACGCTCCTTATGTACTGAAAATGACACTGAAATTGTCATTGAAGTCCCGATCTAAAATAACACAAAGTCACATTACTTGGATTACAGGTATTTCCCGTTTCTAGCATATGAGGATAAAGAATTTGTTAAAAAGACATAAGAAATGTGAGTCACTTCATATTACAATAACCTAATTAAGACTAGAAATAATAATAAGAATAATACACCTGAAATACATTATTATCTAGAGAACGTCAACTAGGTATGGCGAAATCAATGGAGACACTGACGTACCTGCTAGTAACGTACAAGAGAAGACGAAATTACTTGGAACATAATCTAGCAAAAATGTTTATGTCGAAAAATGTGCAATTCTGGACGTAGGCCTGAAGTTGGCACAAGGTGAGTGATTTCAGGGATGCCGACAAGAGCAAATAATAACTCAAATATTCTGTCTTTTTGCAATGCGATCCTAGAAAATATTGTACAACACAAGATGGTATACACTACTGATGGATATCAGTAGTTGTGAGATCCCCACAAAAAACAGTAATATCTGTAAATGTGAATCAAATATTTCAGTGTGAATAGTTATCAACAAGATAATATCAACCGAGTGTATATTATCATATTTCTATACTTTGATTGGAGACTAGTAACTAGTGTGACGTGTCTAGTCCTTTCTTTGGTGAAGACTGAATTCTATCAGTCAGGTTTGCAATGTGGCCACCATTCTAGGTAGCTCGCCATCACGGTGCATATTGATTTGAGTATATTAGATAGTTGGAGGCAATCTACAGGAAACCTTGGACCTACGTTTCGTTCGTGTTTGTATTCACCGGTCAATCTTAAAGGAACTCATCTTGCTTCTGAAATTCGAACCTGTATCATTCAGCGCTGTTGCCAGCCCGGATAGCTCAGTGGTGACGTCTTTGACTGCAGTACTCACTGGGTGACGTGGGTTCAAATCTCAGAGGGGATATGTGTTCCTTCTAGGCAGTTGCAGATACATCTTGCTGATGAGTGCCAACTAGTACGAAACCTAGATCCAAGGCTTCCTGCCGACTGCCTCCAACCATCTAATATCATCAAATATTCCGATACTGTTTGTTTCTTCACCGCTTTTTCATAGTGATATGAAGACTACATGTGTTGTGATCTGAATATTTTCTTTATGGTTTGCAAAAGAATGCTACAGTGGAGTTTCACTTCAAATAGTGTTATTTACAAAGAATAAACTTCAATCACTTTATCTGTCATCAATGAAATTATACAAAACAAACACTGGATCTTCATTGATGAATTAGATCTCAATATAAGATAGGAAAATAAAAGATTCAGACTAAATTACACTCAGGAGACTACGAATAATAATTAACATGTGTGGGGTGGTGACGCTACCCAGTTGCCCATACTGAATTAGGTACAGCGGAACTCGAACCTTCAGACTCACTAGTTTAAAAGCCAGTACTTAAGTCAATGAACTAGGACTCCACAATAAAAATGATTATGTTGTTAAAACGATTTATCCTTTGAAGAGAATTACAATAGGCAAGTGATAATTCATTCGAAACAGTAAACAGAATGCAATTTCAGTGTGAATCTTTATAAAATCATACATATGCAGTGAAAAGTCAAAGACTATTAATTCAATGGGTACAAAATGAAACTACCTTAATAGTTGGAGGATTTCATCACGAGCTGACATCAGTTAGAGGACCACTCAAGGACCTGGGAGTACTGGACAACTGTTTCGTCCTAGTTTATGACTCCCAATCAGTACGAACCCGCTGTGGTTCAAACTCAAGACCTTCTGGTTACAAGGTGAGCTTGTAGACCACTAGGCCACTGGGAACCGACAGTTACGGTTGCTGGTTGATTTTCTTCCCCATTTTCCCAATGATTGCGGAAATATCGTTTAACAATGCATTACAGAGATATACATAATGTGTTTGGGTTCGCGTCCCACCATACTTCAAACTGGACAACTGTGTAACAACGTCAATCCTGACACAAGCAGTGCGACTCAGCCTAATACATAAAATATTTTTTTCCGCGCAACTGAGTTCTTACTCTGTTTTTGACAAAGAGTTCGTCACTACATTGTCATCTATATAGGAATCTATTCGTGTTGACAAAAACCCGTCCATCATATATACAATATCACCTTTACTCTAAGTGCACTTTGTATAAATAGTAAAAATTTTGTAGTCATGACAATCCTCTAACCACAGAATCAGTGGAGAAATGACTATCTTAATAACATGGTCTCCGATTTCTTCATCAACTAACGAAGATCTGAATCGCTGAACAAGTGACAGCAAATAATAAATCTACTTCAGGAAAGATCTGACAACCACCACAATTTATAAATATCTCCTGATGTCTGACATATGAAAGTATAGCGAATGTGTTCAGTAAGTAAATTGTCATTTCTCAATCAATATTACTGCTTATACTACTCCGTTCAAAAGTGACATTATCTACTCTGACTTGAGGAATCAGATAATACCATGAACTCACAAAAATCATGTGTGGTTTATTATTATTATTTTTGATTTCAGCTTGATTCCACACCGTATTTTTGGTGCAGGTATGGAATTTTCAGCATGTGATATTGGTAGCCCAAATTCTGCAGGCCGACCATAGATATCAGGTGTGTGCCGGAGGGGGATCTAACCCCGAACCATGTGCATGGTCGGCGAGAGTCGTAACCACTGTGCCACCGACACACACGGGTACTTAAAAAGTTTACATAGGATAACGTGAATCCTTTCAAACCATAATTCTTCTGTAAAGGTTCATTAAATATCTAATACATAAAGGTTTAAAAAAAACTGTGATTGTCCAAACCTTATTGAAAAGAGAATAAATCAAATTCATAAACTGCCAATTACTGGTCACTCACCCATTAGGAGAAAACAGCTTCTTCATTTTTATGTAGATCCATAACAATTTAAAAACACACAAATCGAGACTAATTCTTATTTAAACAACAGTCATGATAATGTGGTGAGAGCAGGCTGCTAGCCGATTGGTTGACACTAAGCTACGTTAATATGGGCCGTGAGAAAATATGAACAAGGCTGAGTCAACAACCAATCACAGCAAAGTTAACGTGGCAAAATATGATTCGCAGGTAGAGAACTCTATTTGTTAAGGAATCCCGAAACAACCAATCAGAAGCCTGCGTTTGTCTGCCTAACATCTGATAAACAACCAATCAGATGACTGCGCTTGTCTCTAATAGTGTATGTGAAATATGTATAAATACGTGTTGATTTTCATAATAAAACGATCTGTTGCCTGGCCCTTGTCTTCTGTTGTTACAATAAGATTAAACAACGAATAGCAACGAAGACAATCTGTTCATTACAGTTACAAAAGAAAGAAGCTTATGAAGCTCCTAACTATAAACATTTATTAGTTGTTCGTAACAATGATCAAATATTATTTGAAAATAAGGCACACAAACACGTTTACACTCCATAGATTAAACTTACCAAAGGTAAACCACCAATGACTTGATGTTGATGAACTATCAATTGATCATTACTACCACGAAGCAAATTAGTACCAGCTAAGTGACTCTCTACACGACAGTTATTTAATTGTCGATCCGATTGGTTGTTTGAATAACCAACAGGCGGTGCAACTGAAGGTATTTTTGAAGGATCAACAGTTGTCACTGTTGTCGTCACACCGACATTAGTAGTCGCTGAGATGGTCGGATTAGCCGCGTCATTTAAAATTTGATTCGAAAGTGGCATATTAGTTGAATGATGTGGTTTAGATGGCGGTAGGCAAAGAGGAGCGAGAGTCGTCATTTGTCGTAGGAACTGTACACCACCTCGTTCACCAGCAACTCCACCAAGCATTCCTTGAGATGGCTGTTGTTGCTGCTGCTGCTGCTTTGGGTGCCGTGGTTGATGTTGTTGTATACAAAATTGACCTACACGATTTACACAAGCATCCAAAGGGACATTTCCAATGGGAGACGTAATTCGATTGTTAATATTTTGGTTATGACTACTAGCAGCATTCATGATTTTATTTGAGTTATTTTGATGAACAGGATTAACTGATTGATGATGGTGATTTAACTGCCCGTTAGACGGATCTGGATTCGGACGGATAATAGGTAATTTCTTTTCAACATACGGACTACCTTCGATAATTTTCAACATTCTAGGCAAATAATGAATGACACGATCCAATGTATGGTCCCATGCATCCCTTTAAATATCATTAATTTAAAAAGTGGAGAAAGATAAATATCAATCAAAACAAGAAAACATGAGGACAAAAATAGAAGTGTGAATGGTGTTACTGTCTGTTTTCGACATAGAACTTTGCACAAATGTGCGGAAGTTCAAGTCGCCACATTCCGTGTAGCACGCGAAGCAAGAGAAGAAAGTACAAGAAAAGCAAATAGAAACAGTGAGCAGAGGTGTGAGACAAAGGAGTAATAAAGAAATACAAAACAGTTTCATTGGGGATCATAAGTCACAGGGAGTGGATGCATCTGCGCCACTGAGAACGATTTTGAGCCATGTCACCAATTGTTTCCAACCATAGATTTTTACCGTCCCGAGGACCCCAGCCTGGAAGTCTACACCTTCCTACGTGGCTTAGACCAACTGTTGTGGATTTCATTGACTGATGCCAAGTTTTTGTTTGACCGCCGCTAGCTTTTTTCCAGCCTGACCCTATATCCGCTAACATTGCTCGTCGAGGGAGGCGATGGCTTGGCATACGTAACACATGTCCTAACCATCTCAGTCTTTGTAGCTTCACGACTTCGTCGATTGATTTCCCCTGTTTACCTAGAACTCTACGCCTAACCTCCATGTTGCTCACCTTATTATGCCACTTTACACGGGAAATAGAACGCAGGCACCTATGATCAAAGACAGCTAGTCTTTTCATGTCTTCCACTCTCAGTGGCCAGGTCTCACAACCATAAAGGAGGACGGAGCGGACTGATGAGCAGTACACCCGCCCTTTGGTCGATAGTCGAACATCTCGTCTACGCCAGAGTCGGCGTAAACTAACAAATGCGAAACGAGCCCCTTGTATTCGTGCTGAGATTTCGTCAGAGATCAGCCCGTTGGGGCTGATGGTACTTCCCAAATAAGTGAAGCGGTCAACGTGCTCTACCACTTCACTTCCTATTTTTAAACTAGGCGTCGATGTAGTCCAGTCCTGTAACATCATCTTGCATTTGGCGGGAGCGAATCGCATGCCAAACATTCGTAGATTGCGGCTCAAGGTGTTTAGAAGACTCTGCATTTCGTCAGCGTCTTCGCCTAGAAGGACTATATCGTCTGCATATTCCAAGTCAACGAGATTATTCCCAGGTAGCAAGTCAATCCCTGAGTCGCTGAAGTCACCTAGGGTTAAGTCCATTAACACATCTATGATGAAGTTGAATAGAAAAGGAGATAATGGGCATCCTTGACGGACACCACTGGTCGTCATCAGTTCAGATGACAGCTCGCCGTAAGCCCTCACCTGGCTGTATGAGTACGAATAGAGTGCCTTAATCAGTGCAATATATTTTCTCGGAATTCCCTTTACAGCCAAGCATCTCCAGAGAACTTCCCGATCGACAGAGTCGAATGCTGCCTTTAGGTCAAGAAATATAATGACTGTTGGACGCCGGTAGGAATGCCTATGTTCTAGAATCTGTCGGAGGGTGAAGATATGATCAATACACCCTCTTCCTGGTCTAAAGCCTGCCTGGCTCTCTCGTGTTTGTGCTTCCCGAGCACCACTCAGTCTACGCATGATTATTGAGCCTAAGACTTTAGATACTATATTAGTCAAGCTAATCCCTCTGTGATTATCACAGGAAGACTTGTCTCCCTTCTTGTATATGGGGATAATCAGTGACTTACACCAACCCGATGGGACTTCTTCTGATTCCCAGACGCTGCCTAGTACCTCAGTTAATCCGGACAGTAAGCTGTCTCCACCGTACTTAAATACCTCTGGAGTCATTCCATCAGGTCCCGCTGCTTTGCCTAGTTTCAGATTGGTGACAGCTTTAGTAACCTCAGTTAGTGACGGAGGACCTGTATCTATATCCCATTCAGGGAGGTGTTGGATGCTCGGAAGGTTGAGCGTGGCTGTGGGCAAATTAAACTGCTCCTCATAATGCTCTTTCCAACGATCCAGTCGTCTATCCTGTGAGCTAATTATAGTGCCATTTTTTTCCGAGATTGTCTCACTAATGATTTGTCTTCTCCCACCCGTTTCCCTGATGAGTCCAAAGAGTTGCCTGGTGTTGCCTATCCTCGAAGCTTTCTCCATCTCTTTGGCTTTTGTCGCCCACCACTGTTCACGGTCCTTGCGGAGACTTTTCGTAAGTTTCCTCTTGTGCAGCTTTCGCTCCTCATTGAATTCGGAGCTCGCCGGAATAAGTCTTCTAGCATCTATCAGTTCGGATGAGGCGGTGGAGATCCAGTGGTTTTTACTCACCTTTGGGTTTACCTTATTCACAGCTTTTACAGCTGTATCTATGGCTGCCTGGATATTTTTCCAAGCTTCTTCAGGGTGAGCACAGCTGTCGAACACAGATATGTGTTTAGCTAGTTCTTCCTCAAATACGGATTTAGTTTCCTGATCGAGCTGGGGACGTGATGGTTTTACCGCCAGCTGTTTCCTACGTCCGTTCAGTCGTAAGCACACCCGAGCGCGGACCAGTGCATGGTCGGTATCTACGCACGTGTTCCAGAAGGAGCGACAATCTCCTACCGACCCACGCCAACGATAGCTTATTGCTATGTGGTCTATTTGTGTCCAGCGTTGGTTTGATGAAGGGGGTCTCCAAGTCAAACAGTGTCTCTCCTTGTGTTTGAAGTTAGTGCTTACAAGAAACAAATGATTATCAGAGCAGAACTGTAGGAGACGGTCACCGTTGTCGGTTCGCTGGCACGGAACTCCATAGGTGCCACCGACATCCTTCTCAGATTGACACAATTTCCCTACTTGAGCGTTAAAGTCACCAGCTAGAACGACTATGTCTGAGCGTTTAGCCTTTCGCACCAAACTAGACAGCTTTTGGTAGAACTCATCCTTCGTTTCATCTGAACTGCAGTCAGTGGGGGCGTAGGCGGAGATTACGAAAAGGCATCGGCGAGTAGTGCAGTCCTTCCTCCTTCTTACTGATCCGTTCAGGCGGACAGCACACATTCGGCTATCTACCGGGATCCAGTCAAGCAATGTCTTTTCTGCCCTAGTACTCAAAGCTATCCCTACGCCAGCTAATCCTCGTGAACTAGCTGTGGCATCTCCTGACACCCTCAGGGTGAATTTTGCAGATTCAACCTGTTGGCCAGGTGGGGTTAGGTGAATAACCACACTTGGGTCTTGTATGCGTGTTTCTGAAACACAGCATACATCAATGGCTCGTGATGCCAGGGTCTTGGCTAGTGATGCTTGTTGTCCTATTTGGCAAAGTGTCCTAACATTAAGAGCTCCTATATGAAATTGGTGGCGCGGCTTTAAGAGGCTGTCGGTGGTGGTTTTTTGGCTTCCATCGTTTTTAGTGGACGCAGAGTGGAGAGGAAGTGGAGAGCTATCAAGTCGAGGAGTTGCATCAGTGGAAGGAAGGCAAGATGATAGAGATGAAGATGAAGACAAAGATGAGTGAGTAATAGAGAGGTTTCGTGTGCATTTCGGATTGTGAGGGCGATTGTTACTTCCCGGCTGCCCACACCGTGGAAGTTGGTTGCGTGACCGCAGAGCCCAGGGGACAACTGCTTGAGGCCGGTCACACGCGGCCTGTTTTTGTTTGTTCTTTGTTGTTTTGTGTGTCTCAGTAGCAGATTTATCACTCCCGCCCTGTGACACGGCAGCAGGAAGCGCGGTCGTTGTTAATCCGGGCCACGGCCGATCCGGCATGAAATTTTGTAATTTTGTATTGGACATGATGTTGGATTGGGTAGCTGCTTTTTGTTTAACCGCTATCCAAACAACCTGCCTGGCATGGTAGAACCTCAAGAGACATAAGTCTCAGCCAGTATAGCTTGATTAGGTCATTGCGGTGTTCAAGCCCGACCACCACGTCAAGGTAGCAGCTTTCGGTCGGGCGTTACACCCCGTATACATTAATTCCACACCCTCAGACTTAAACTAACGAATAGGGAAATGATGGTTTTCGGTCATCATTTACCAGTATTGATCAGTTTATTCGTCTCATCAATGGGGGGGGGGGTGATTGGCTGCATGCTATGCTGTAAATCTCTTAAATGTCTACTTACTTTTTATTTACCAATATTCATAATTTGTGTATGGAAAATATAGAATAAATGCAAGATTTAAGTATGATACTGATGTCGAAACTGGTCTTATTTACCTTGCATGAGAATGCTAAACCACTTCTCACTAGTAATTGGCTATAACATGAGAAACTGTGATAGCTGGGGCCCATCAGTAATTCATCCATGAGGATGGCTACTCACCCGTATTGTTGAGCAGCAGTGTTACTAGACTGTGAATCAGTCAAAGTTAAAATTCATGACCCAGTGTCCCCTAAGCATAATGACTGGGTGATGACCTGTTCGCTAAGCAACATAGAGATGCTGACTTCGATTCGTGCCAGAAAATTTAACACTAAGATGATGCGGCTGTCCAGTTGCTTCTAGTTTTTACTGATTCTCTAACTAATACTTGTCTGTGAAGCAGCTTACATTGACACTATGCCACATCACTACACACGTCAAACAAACACTGCTGGAGACTCTGGATGACATTCTTTGATAGTTGTGAGACGGATCAATATTAAATATTATTCATCATAAATGAAAGAGTACAATTCAAGAATTGTATTACAGCATAAATCATATTAGATAAGTTTATTTAATATGACATAAAGTGATACAATTATAAAATAACTAGATAACTCAAGCAAAATTAATTCCACATAGGCATATCAAGATGAGCAATGATACTATCAAATAAATGGGCTACTATATGTCTTTTATATAGGAGACTATGAGATACATTTGATTTCTGAGCAAATTATGATATATCTCGGATGATGCTTAAAATGGCGATTCAACACTTTCAAGTTATATAATTTAACCTATGAATCAAAAGATAGGAATGTGCTGAATTAAGGCCTTTCCGATAAAATTATTCGTTCCTTTTAGCTTATACTGAAAATGAAGATAACATCAACTAATTGATTCGACTCTAATGACGACCCACAACGTTTCACCTTTACAGAT